CGCAGAACGAAGGAGACAGACACACAAACACACACACACACATTCACGCACGCTCATCGTCGGCGCTCTGGTCTGCGCCCCCGCTCTTATCAACCCCACCCTTACCCGTACCCTCACTATCAGCATCACCTTTATCACCATCATCAGCATCATTACCACCAACACCATCACCATCACCATCATCGTCAGCAGTGCCCGTCTTCCACCCCACGTCCCTTCAGTTCAGCCGAGGCCTCAGCGTGCAGGAGATTTGCGCACAATCATGATCATCCTCATCGCCACCGTCATCATCATCATCATCATCATCATCAGCAGCATCATCATCATCATCATCACCATTATCAGCATCATCATCGTCGTCATCATCATCCTCAGCTTCATCATTCCACCTCATTCCCAACTACACTTCTACCGTCAGCACTCGCATCACCATCCAATGCCACGCTCACCATCTTCGCCCTCTGTCACCCTTGCACGACCACCGCCCTTGGCCGCCACTCCATGTTACGAAAGGCGTTCCCTCCTTGGTTGCATCCTGCCCACCCCGCCGGATTTCGTCGTTGCAGTTTCCCTCCGGAGAGGACAACATACCCTTGCGGGGATCGACCACGGACTCCTCAGGCTGTTTGTCGATGGGGTGCGAATGGCCACAGATTTGCTAGCTACGATTTTGTTATCGCTGTGATGCTCGACGCCTGGGCCATTGCCCCATCGGGTCCGCTAGGCGTCGAAGTTTCTTCCTGCGTGTGCATTTTCTGCTCGTCTTTGCAGCATTGCTGCTCTTGCATGTGTGTATAAAGGTCTACACGGTCCGAGTGGCTTAGCTGGCGTTCCCCGCAGCCTGCCTCGGGTCTAACGCCAGCCGTCGCTTGCGTCCTGAAGTAGTGGCTGCCTCCCTGCAGAACAGTGTGGTTGCGTGTGTCGCGCACGCGTATTGTCCTGACGCGCTCTGTTAGATGATTGCCCAGGCTTGAGAAAAGAAAGGCTGCGGAGGAGTGAAAAATGCATGTGTGCGTGCGTGTGTGTGTGCGCGCGTCCGCTTCACAAAAAGCTGATTCTCTTTGAGTGTGACTCACCATCCTGCACCCGCTGGTTGTATTCACCAGCGCGTCAGGAAAAAGTGTGCGCGCGTGTGTGCGTGCGTGTGTGTGTGTATATTAGTGTGTGCGCGTGCGTGCGTGCTTTTCTTTGTTATGTGTGTATATGTGTGTGTCTGTGTGTGTGTGTGTGCGTGCGTGCGTGCGTGCGAGCGTGCGTGCGTGCGTGCGTATGTGTGTAGGTGGTCATCTGTGTGCGCGTGCATGCGTGGCCTCCTCATTCTGGGAGCCATGGTCGACTGCACGTCCACGCCTGTCCATTCCTGGCGTCTGATTGCGCTTCTCTGAGCACAAGCTCGTACAATCTCGTACAGGCTTCTGAGACACAGACGCATGGCTCTTTGGGTGGCTGGGGATGCATGGGGAGCGTTGACGCGCTCGAGATACGTGCCTTGCTTGTCCCCACATGTTTCCTCTCCTTCCGCCTCGCGTTCCCGGAGGAGGGATCAGGGGAGGCAGCAGGTGCATGCTGGGTTTCTTCGCTCCCCTTTGAGGCGCCTTGTTATCCTTAGATATTGCGCAAGGTCGACTCTGGAAGCCTTGCGCACGTAGATGAGCGAGCGGAGAAAACGCCGCGGAGAGGAGTGGCCGCCCAGGCAATGGACAAGATGATGGCTGAGTTGAAGCAGCAGCAGAAGGACGCGAATTAATCAGAGATGCTCGGCACGGGCTAACTAGTTCTCCGATATCAGTTCGAAGCAGACCAAGCTGCCCCCATACTTCCCCTCCCCCCACCCTTCACCTCTCCGCTCCCTTTCTTCCTCCCGCCCTCTCATCTCTTTCATTCCATCCCCTTCGCCTCCACTTTCCCGTTATGTTTCCTCCCATCGTTTTGCTCCTGCCGAAAAATCTATGCGAGCTTGTCGCGAGCAGAAGGCTGGCTCTCTTCTGGGCCACTGGCCACGCAACAGGGTGCGGTCATTGGATAGTCAGCGAGGAAGGATCGCTTCGCGTCGGCATACTCCCCGAATTCTGGTAAGGAGGCAGAGGAGGAGCATCAAGCGCAGGTCCCCTTTCTTTTCATTTTCTCGTCATTCTTCTCATCTGCTCGCTCTTGCCACCAATGCCTCTCTTCATTTCTCGCGGTGCTGCTCCCTGTGGCCGTCCTCTCGATTGACTTTGAAACGTATGCTCCCTCTGGGATCCCCTCCCTTGCGCGTAGCAAGATGCTGTTCATGTGCAATGCGCGCATGCATCTCGTGACGATGCTCAGCATATCATAGCTGCATATCGGTAACAATGCAGGTTCGAGTCGAGCTAGAGTATTGCGCACACGAGCTTGCAAACACAGAGTCTTTGCGCAGCCGCAGGCATCCCCATTTAAAGATGCGACAGGGCAATGTTTGGGTGCTCGAAGTTGCTCGCATCCGACGGGGCTAAGATGAGGATACATCCATTCCAGAGCGTTGCGGAATGCTCTTAGAGCGTTTCGGAACGCTCTGTGATGGCCGCGGCGCCCGCGACATCCTCCAGAGCCGCCGGATCTCAGAGATTCTCGATTTATCATCACCCGAATATATCTTCGTCCTGGCTTCGTCTTAACGCAGGCGTTATGTATGGATGCTCGAAGTTACATCATGGCTAATGGACGGTTGGTGTTCTCGGCCGCCCTGTGCTCGCTCCTCCTGCCCTTCAGAGGTCTCCCTCTGCGTGTGTGTTCGCTTTCGCTTCCTCCGAGTTTTTCCCAGAAAAGGCTCCGGCCCAGGCTTCTCTTGTAATCGTGTAACCTGTCCCCGGTGCCAAGTTCGAAGGGGGCTGGCGGATTTCAGCTCGAATAAAAAAAGGCGAAGTCCCATTTTGTTTTGTAGTCTTGGCGAGCGGCATTCTCGTTCGATGCCTGCCATACTCTCTCGTGCTAGGCTGCTGTGACTGACTGGTGTTTTTTCACTGCTTCTCATCTGGCCCCTCATCTTTAGCTTTCGAGCACACTTGTTTCGCTAGGCAGTTGGTGATCTCGTTTCCTCGAATGTCCAAGACACAGGCTTGCCAGTCAGTGGGGACATTTGAAAGAACTTGGCGTCTCATAAATGGTGGCAGCCAGGGGGCAGCTAGCTCCATAGCAATCATCTGTGTTCGAATCCACACCTCCGTCAAAAGACTTTGGGGCCATAAGATGAACGTTTCTACCTAACAGCGAAGACTGATAGGCTTCTAGTGGTGTCAAAAAAGAGCAGCAGATGACTCCACAGGGGGGTCGGGGCGGGACCCGGGGCGGCTGCCGCCGAAGCCCAAATCGCTTGGGACATCCTCGCAAAATCGCTCTTGGCGCTGCTAGAACTCCATTCCCGACGTACATTTTGGATGCCCTGACCCAACTGTAGGCCACTTCGTGGCCTTCGAGTTTCCAGAACTCCATTCCCGGCGTACATTTTGGATGCCCGGAGCCAACTGTAGGCCACTTCGTGGTCTTCGAGTTCCCAGAACTCCATTCCCGGGCTACATTTTGGATGCCCGGAGCCAACTGTAGGCCACTTCGTGGTCTTCGAGTTCCCAGAACTCCGCTCCCGGGCTACATTTTGGGTGCCCGGAGCCAACTGTAGGCCATTTCGTGGTCTTCGAGTTCCCAGAACTCCATTCCCGGGCCACATTTTGGATGTCCGGAGCCAACTGTAGGCCACTTCGTGGTCTTCGTTTGTACTACTCTTGCTACTACTGTTTCTACTGCTATTACCATTGCTCCCATTACTCCTACTCGTTCACTCCACCCACTACAACTACTACTTCACTGTTACCGCTACTACCATCACTACTACTTCTACTGCTTTTACTACTGTTACTATTACTGCTGCTGCTGTTGCTGCTGCTAGTGTAGCTCTTGCTACTGCAACTACTGGCAGTGCCACTGCGACTGCGACTGCGACTGATGTTGCCACTGCGACTGCCACTGCGAATCCGAATGCGACTGCGAGAACACCTGAATTCTACAACAGCACTCTTACATGAATACCCAAGGCAATGTTTCCAGCTATGCTTCTACACATCGCTGTTAGGTTGCTTTGCCGGGATAATTTTATTCGGCGTTTCGACATTGGGAGGAAGTGGGGGGAAGGGGGGGGAATCTGGCTCAAGGCCTCTGCTTAGTGCGACTGTTTGCAAGAGTGCTGCATCTTGGGGAGACTCCACCCGCTTGAAACAGGCGCCAAAAAACAGTCAAGATCTACTCCATGCGGGGGTGGGAGGGGAGGGTGCGAGAGCCCGCGCCGATCGGCAAAACAACGAAAAACAAATCGCTCACAAGGTTGGGGCTTAGCGAACTGTTCAGCGACATCCACTTCGTTCCTGCTCCCCCCTTCTGTGCACGGATTCTGGCCTCGCTTCGTTTCTGCAACAAGCGCTGATGTCGTCCGGGTCACCAGTTCTGAGGCGCGTCTGGCATTCTCTACGGAAAAGGAGGACATGGAGAGCGATTTGCTCATCAGTCCCATTCTTTCCCTGGCGCTAGGACCTCTCAGCCGTAATACACTTCTCGGGTGGAATGTAGCCTCCGAAGTTGAAGTCTTGGATCCATTGTCGCTGCGCCCACGAAAGCGGCTACAGAATTTGAGAAGAGTCCCGTCCTCATGTGCTAAATTACATTGTGTCTCATCGCGAGCTGGGTTTTTTGCATGTGGAGCACAGTGGGCCATTGTTAGTTCGCATCGCAGTTCAACAATCCCCGACAGTACACCCTATATGTATTCAGACAGCGCTACCATACTTGAGGTTATGACCTGAAAACGGTGCTCCGCTCTGGAGGACGAGTCTGCATCGTACGAGTCTCTTCCCAGACCTGCTCATCTGTACCTCGACGTCGCCCCCTTCCGCCTCTTCTGGCTCGTCCACGCCACTTTTCCATCCGGCTCTCCCTCGTCTCCTTTGGGATCAGTCTGGAGAGTTCTGCCGCGGAGGACGAGTACGAGAAGCATGAGTCTTGCAAGCTCGAGATCGACAAGCACGAGGATGACGTCAAGGTTGCCGAGCAGGAGAAGGAGGACCGCAGCGGGGCGCAGCGCATCAAGCTTCTCATCTTCCGCCTCCTGGTCCCCCGCCTCCTCCGAGGATCGAAGGAATTGGCATCTCTTCCCCGGCGGAAGGCGGCGGAAGGCTGCGGAAGCAAAACGAGGGCGCCTCCGCCTGCAGAATCCGGCGGAAGGCTGCCGGAAGCCCGTGAAAGTAAAACATGCGCCCCCAATAGATGACGTTTTGATTTGGTTCGGGATTTCTGGAACCCGCCATCTGGGTCGTTTGGCTGTCGTTGGTTTTGTGGGTTTTCGATTTCGAGGCGCCCTTTGTGGGCTGCGTGCGCTTTGGAGTGGCCGTCCCCGCGGGGGTGGCGAGGGCCTTGGCCACGGATTTGTTTTTTCTGGGAGTGTCGTAGTGGGGGACCTTTCTTGTCGGTGCAGTCCCTGGGTCCTAGTCGCCGCCCTCCGCCCTGGGTGCCGCCCTCGGTAGTCAGCCGAGGCACAGAGAGTTTATCGGACAGGTCTTCGCGGATCGTTGATGAACAAATTCTTACCTGACCTTTGCATTCATTCTCTCCTCCTCCGTCGTTGGTGGGTGCTCGTTCTGCGGTATGTCTGCGGCGGTCCCGCCAGAACTTGCATGGAGCAACTCGATCTCCGACTCACACTCCGACCTTGCCGCCACCAGCGGCTTAATGGCCCTTAGGGCCAACAGCAGGTTTTTGCGCCAACATTGTGCATGTGTTCATTCCTGACATATATTCCATATATATATATGTATATCAGAGTGAGGGGGATGAACCGAACGGTCATTCACTGTCCCTGGGTGCGTGGCTGAAGTGGAATTCCGCGATGCGGATTGTTGTTGTTGTTGTTGTTGTTGTTGATGTTGTTGATGTTGTTGATGTTGTTGTTAATGCTGTTGTCGTTGTTGATGTTGTTATCGTTGCTGCTGTTGTTATCGTTGCAGTTGTTGCTATTGTTATTGTTGTTGTTGTTGAACATTATTAATTCTAAAGAATAATTATTGTTGGGACCCCTGGTGCACGGCCCCCCTGCGCCGCCTAGGCCGCAGCTACATTTTCATCATTTTCGTGAGGAAGCCTCAGGTAATACGATGTCATCAAGATCCGGTTGTTTTGTTGTAATCCGTTTTCCCTTGCAAAAAACACTATAAAATGACATTTCTTGTTCTAATATAATCAAATTTCAAGAATCCCTTGCAAAAAATAAGGTAAAGTGGACATTCGCGCGCGCAAGACGAAATCCTTCCAAAAGCTTAGTGTTCGGAGCGATTTTAACATAAAAACATCAAAAAACCAATGGTTTTTCAACAAAAAAATGTCAAAATCTCATCCCGCGCGCTCTTGCGGATTCGTAGGAAACCCAACACTTTTTAAACATTTCTGTCAAACGGGCTTTTGCGAGCAACTTTTTCGAACTTCTGCGACAACGGTTGCGCACCTGCCAGGGCCATCATCCCTGTCAAATAATACCATGCGGGACACATTCGTTTTTTCTTCGCGCGCGCACGCCGTCGTCGTCGGCCGCGGGGCCCTGAATAGTAGCCACGGTCGTCCGCATGCCACGAAGTGAAGTGTCCGAACGTCATAGGGCGGGAAGCTGGGTGTGGGTGGTGGCGAAGAGTCGTTTGGAAATTTGGTAGAGCTTGAACCGGCCCCCCCACAAAGTGGGGGTATTGCCCGCCTCCTGTGAAAACCCTGGCACTGGTGAGAACACTGAGCGTTCGGGTAAAGTGATTGTTGTTGTTGTTGTTGTTGCTGTTGTTGTTGTTGTTGTTGATGTTGTTGTTGTTGTTGATGTTGTTGTTGTTGCTGTTGTTGTTGTTATTTTTGTTGTTGTTGTTGCTGTTGTTGTTGCTGTTGCTGTTGCTTGTTGATGTTGCTGTTTGTTTGTTTGTTTGTTGTTTGTTGTGTGTTGTTTGTTGTTAGTTGATTGTTGTATGTTGCTTTGTTAGCTTGTTAGCTTGTTAGTGTGTTTGTTGCTTGTTGCTTGTTGCTTATTGTTTGTTGTTGTCGTCGTCCCACCCGCGACCCGCTCCGCGACCCACCTGCGACCCACCCCGCGACCCACCCGCGACCCACCCGCGACCCACCCAGCGACCCACCAGCGACCCACCCCGCGACCCACCCGCGACCCGCGACCCACCCGCGACCCAACCGCGACCCACCCCGCGACCCGCCCGCGACCCCGCCCGAGACCCCCTGGGCGACCCACCCGCGACCCACCAGCGACCCACCCGCGACCCACCCGCGACCCACCCCGCGACCCGCCCGCGACCCCGCCCGAGACCCCCTGGGCGACCCACCCGCGACCCACCAGCGACCCACCCGCGACCCACCCGCGACCCACCGCGCGACCCACCCGCGACCCACCCGCGACCCACCGCGACCCACCGCGACCCACCCGCGACCCCCACCCCGCGACCCACCCAGCATTTTCGGCGCTTGCGGCGGGCTTCTTTTGCATTCGTTCCAGGTGGAGAACCTGCGACCCACCCGCGACCCAAACCGCGTCCAGCGTACAAATCAAAATTTTCGGCGCCTGCGGCGGGCAGTTTTTGAATTTCTCCCAGGTGGAGGTGAAAAGCCCGCGACCCACCCGCGACCCAAACTACGTTCACTGAACAAGCCTAAACTTCGGCGCCTACGGCGGTTTCCTTTGCATCAGCGACCCACCCGCGACCCACCGGCGACCCACCCCGAGACCCCCCCGCGACCCACCCCGCGACCCACCTGCGACCCACCCGCGACCCACCCGCGACCCACCGCGACCCACCCGCGACCCACCCGCGACCCACCCCGCGACCCACCCAGCATTTTCGGCGCCTGCGGCGGGCTTATTTTGCATTCGTTCCAGGTGGAGAACCTGCGACCCACCCGCGACCCAAACCGCGTTCAGTGTACAAATCAAAATGTTCTGCGCCTGCGGCGGGTTTTTTTGCATTCGTTCCAGGTGGAGAACCTGCGACCCAAACCGCGTTCAGTGTACAAATCAAAATTTTCGGCGCCTGTGGCGGGCGGTTTTTACATTTCTTCCAGGTGGAGGTGGAGAGCCCGCGACCCACCCGCGACCCAAACTAAGTTCACCGAACAAGCCAAAACTTCGGCGCCTGCGGCGGGCTGTTTTTGCATTCCTCCCGGGTGGCCCACCAGCGATCCCCCCCGCGCTGAGCTTGTCAGAGCACGCGAATCGGCGCCTGCGGCGGGCTTGCTCGCACTGGGTTGGGAAAGCGCCCTTGTGCCATTCCCCCGATCCGGCCCACCTTGACTCTACAACAGCACATCGGCGCCTGCGGCGGGGCTGTGTCTGAACACGTTCATTGACAATCCAGTTGCCTGCTGCAATTCGGAGGAGGCGGACAACGACGACGACGACGATGAGGACGAGGACGCGGACGAGGAAGAGGAGGAAGAGGAGGAGCAGGAGGAGGAGCAGGAGGGCGCCATCGACAGGGAAGGTGAGGGCCACGAGGTCCGCAGGCTCGACGCCCGCGTCGCCCGCGCCCGCCCCCTCACTCTTATCCGCAACTGCGGGGTGCTACGAATTATCTATTTCAGGTGGGCCTCCTTTGCCGCAACTGCCTTGGGTTGCGAAGCGTGGGCAGTGCTGCTGCGGGCTGGCGACTCCTGGCAGGGTGGCCATGCGTCCTGCGCGGCGCGGCCGCTAAGCTCCGACCCCACTGCTTAGAATCCTGACTGTACACTTGCCGTTGTGGCCGAAGGCCCCCAGAACCTCTCGCGTCGATTCTCGTCGGGGTCAAGGAAGCCTGCGAAAATGTTATCATGCAGGCAAGAGGGGGGAAAGGTAGCCAAATAATCATGTGCGTCAGCTTGGTCAGGTCAGTGGTCCACGAACGCACAGCGCGCTGGGCGTCTCATCAGCGTGGTGCCCTCTATCTATGGGGCAATACCGTTTAAAACCAAGACATCCGTCAAATTCTACACCATGTTCAGTTCTAGAGTTTCTCAGCCCATGGCTACACAGTGGCCTTGTAGTTCGGCTCTAGGAGCGGCTCAGATCTTCTCAGTTTGACTATTAGGTCGGCTGGGCCAGCCTCATGGGCTGCGGGCAGCAAAAAGGGCATATGACCCATCAATCGGTATAGCAGGTCTGTCGCGGGTCTACAGGTGAGTGCACCGATGCTCCCATACCTTTCGATTGTTCGGGGATGCGTTCAGACGGGTCAGAAGTGCACTGGGCGTTAGGTTGGGCAGAGCCATTGGACACCTGGCAGAGGTAGGGGCTCGCCGTCTCACCCAAAGCAGCACCGAGGCGTTAATTGCCTCGTCGGCATTTCCATGGTCGATACGTCATTTCCCGCAGTACTTGCATAGTCCTGCTGCTGTCCCTCCTCCTGTACTGCTCGTGTCCAGACCTGCGAGCGCTATTTGCTGCTGCGGACCCCGCGGTGTCTGTGCACTGCATGAGCAGGCCACGCTCCGGCCTCCTCTCGGGAGTACATTTCCTGGATGGCAGCGCCTCGGACAGGAAGCTCTGGGGGCTTGTCGGACGGAGCTATGACGAGAATAAACCAGTTCCACAGCGTTCCGAAACACTCTCAGAGCGTTCCAGAATGCTCTGAGAAGACCGCGGCGCCCGAGACATGTTCCAGAGCCGCCAGATCTCAGAGATTCTCGATTCATCCACACCCGACTTTATCCTCGTCCTCTATTCGTCTTAGCTCGAGCGGGCTGGGTGGGCAATCGTTCAAGTGGGCCGCTTTGGCGCCCTGGTGTGGCGGCGGTCTACGGGATGGTGTGCCGCTAGCGGCCGTTCGCAGCGCAAATGTTGCAACTCGTCGCTATCGGGCCCATGGAGCTCTATCCAGAGATCCAAAGTGTTGGGAACAAAAAACGAGACGGAGGTTTTTCTCAGTTTTCGGCCTCCAGGGGCCCTCGCTGGGCACAGGGACCCTCAAAAACGACTCGAATGTGTCGAGACTTCCGAGGGACCCGCATTGAAAAAGTCACGACATCGGATCTCTGGGTACCTGGACTGCGCCAGCATTCTGCGAGTGCTCCACGGGGGGCCCGGCGCGGGCTGCGGTGCGGGCATCGGGGTTCAAGACTCAAGAGACGGGGGTCAATGAAAACGGGGGTCAGTCAGAGCGCTGGATCTTGCAGGATCCTGCAGAGCCAGGGGTGCATTGACCCTGCAGGATCTTGCGGGTCCCTGCAAGTCCCGACTGACTGGGGTTTGGATGGACCCGGGTCAGTAGGTCCCCGAGGCGACTCGCGGCCCCACCTCTGAGCGTCCTTTTGGGGGGGGCTTCACGCCAGACGACTTTGTGGCGCCAAAGACCCTAGGACATGCCACTGCCGCGGACGTGGACGCAGGGCGGTCCACGTACTGGGAGCGACGGGCCAACCTCAAAGCAGACGAGATGGTCAAGGCAGGGGCCCGCTACCACAACGTCTCCGCCGAGGACGCCGCGCTCTGGCCCGGACTGTCCGACCTTGCGTCTGAAGGGGCGCGCCGGTGCGCGGAGCTGGCAGCGCACCCGGCCAACGCCAGGCTCGTGGTTCACGACGTGCTGCACGCGACCCGGGAGGTGCGGGCTGAAGCAGCCGCCACCGCCAGGCCGCCTGCCGTGGACATGGACGGGAGGAGGGCCGAGGAGCAGGTTGGTCTGGGTGCGGCCTCCCTCCACGAGGCGGCCCCCGCGCCCGCGCAGCTTCGAGTCGAGGACGGGCTGGCATCCCCAGTGGCTGGAGTGCCGACGCTTGTTAGATCACTCGCGGCGGCGACACGTGCTCGGGGCCGTGCTTTGCTCCAGTGCGACGTGCTTCAAGAGCCAGGCGAGATCCTTATCTGTTGCCTGCGCAGTGGCGGGACATGGTTGGGGGGCGCGCCTGGGAGGCTGCTGCGCGGGGAGTGCGGCGAACGGCGGCGCTGCGTTGCGGGCAAGGAGCAGCTCCGCCTGATCTCCCAGAGGAAGTGGCCGCACTACCGCCCTGAGCGGAAGCAACACCGGGCTGGACCGCCTCAGGCCCTGGGTGAAGTCGCGGCCAACGGGCTGCTTCGCCAGGGCGAGGATGTCGCCGGACCCAGCTGCGGGAGGGCGCCGCGCGGGGCCGGCTCGCGTTCCCAGGCCCCTCTGGGCGAAAGCAGGGAGGACGTGCTGGCGTGCTTCGGGATTGATGAGCACGGCCTGCTCTGGGTGTGCGACAAGGGCCGCCGGGCAGCTGCGGTCGGCGACGCGGCTGTCGAGTCGGAAGCCGGCTGCAGCGACAGCGAAGGCGGCGGCCCTGGGGGCTCGGCAGCGGGGATCTGCGCAGCCCCCCCCCGGGCCACACGCCACGCCATGCCTCCCTCACTCCTCGTTGTCCTTGTCCGCCTCCCCCCTTCCTCATCCGTCTCACCCCACGGCCCGTATCAGCCGCCGCCTTCTTCTCCTTCTCCTCGGAAGCCTCTTCTCCCTATTCTCGGCACCGCCCAAACATACTAAAACTATGTGCGCGTCGGCTCCGCAAGGGCGACGCGCGCGCCAAGAAACCGTATTGTATCAGCTCCGTGGCGTGCGGTTTCTGGACGCACCACCCGGGGGCCGATATACCATGATATTTGTGCACCGCAGGTTCGGGTCGGACGCACGCCGCCGAGGAAACCACATACACCTATCAGAGATCGTATGACAACGCGTCGACTTTGATGTATTCCACATCTCCGTTAAGACAATTATGATTATGGCCTGGACCCCAGACGTTGAACTTCTTTGCTTCCGTAGAACGTCCGTGCATCTAGACCTGGGCGATTGTTTAAGAAAACGCTTGGAGTGAAGTCCATGCTACTAGCGTACACTGTTGCTTAACTCCAAGCAGGGTGTGCTTTTGTGCGTCCCATCTCCAGCCGCACAGTACGAGAACTACGCCTGCACCCCCCGATCCTGGCCCTGCAGCGGGCGCCGCCGTTCCCGCGCATCTCCGTGCTGCTCCTCACGTGCAGGGCTGCGGCACGTGCTGGTTGCTGGTCGGTTCGGTCGGATATCGCTCGGGCTTGCGTATTTTACGGTGGGGGCGTTGGCGAATGAATGTGCCCAGGAGGCTTCAGATCCTGAGGAATTCTTTATCTGATGACAGCGGCAGTGATATCCACGGCGAGTCCACGCTTGGAGTTCCAACGGCTTCCAGACCCTGGCTTCCTTATCCAATAGTTCCTTGTGGAGGGATTCTCCGAAGGGCTTAGGCGACCCGTCCTCCTCCCCTCTCCTCTCCTCCCTCCTCCTCCTCCTCCTCCTCCTCCTCCTCCTCCTCCTCCTCCTCCTCCTCCTCCTCCTCCTCCCCCTCCTCCCCCTCCCCCTCTTCTTCTTCTTCTTCTCCTCATCCTCCTTCTCCTCCTCATCCTCCTCATCCTCCTCCTCCTCGTCCAATGCCCTCACCGCATTTCTCGGCGAGGACCATCGAAAAAGCGCATCTCGGACCATCCCGCGACAAAAGAAGCGCACGAAGCCGAGAAAGGAGGCGGGGAATGGGCGTCTGAGCGATCGCAAGTTTCGGACCTTCAGAGTAGCTCAGCCACGCGCAGAAGGGGGAGGAGGAGGAGGCGAAGGAGGAGGAGGAGGAGAAGGAGGAGGAGGAGGAGGAGAAGGAGGAGGAGGAGGAGCAGGAGGAGGAGCAGGAGGAGGAGGAGGAGGAGGAGGAGGAGGAGGAGGAGGAGGAGGAGGAGGAGCAGGAGGAGGAGGCCCCCGGAGGCCGCGAGAGGGGCGCCCGCAGCGCCCCGGCACCTCGGCCCTCGGCCCTCTCGGCTCCTCGAGCGACCGGCCGCGGCGAGCAGCTGAGGGGCGCCGTGGGCGCGACGCAGCGGAAGAGCCCGCCGAAGGTCAGCCACGCGCAGAGGGGGGAGGGGGGAGGGGGGAGGGCTTCGTAGAAGCACCCCTGCTTCTTAGAGAAGGCGCGGACCTGATCTACAGATGTGAGTCTGGCGCCTTCTCAGGAGCGGCCTTCTTCTAAGAAGCCCTCCCCCCTCCCTCCACCCCCTTGTGGCACCGCCAAGTAGCGTTCCCGCTGCAGCGGTGGCCACCCTTCAGGATTGACGCCTTGCTGCCGTCGTTCAGGTGGGCGCTCTCGCTCTGACGCGGGCCACACTTCCAGGTCCGATTCATTCATCGTCGGTGCTGTCCCTCTCCGTTCCCCTCATCAGCATGCCCCTGGTCTTCCTGCTAGCTCGACTCTGATTACATCCAGGCTCGGTGACGAACGATGCAGCTACAAGAAGTAGCGTGCAGAGCAAAGGGGAAGGGGCCCTCCCACTCCTACTGCTGCTACCCCTCCTTCTTCATCAGCATCCTGCTATTCCTCCTGATCCTGCTTCGCATCCTCCCTTCTCATCCTCCTTTTCCGCCGCCTTCCTTCGAGACCGCCGCCTTCTCCTGCTCCACCTTTTTGTTCTCATATTTGCTTCTCCTCTTCCTTCTTCCTCCAGTGCGCAAAGCTCCCCCCTCTGATAGCGCATCACACGGTGGTATCACTGGGGAGCTCAAGGCCCTCTAGGAGACCCCAGTCGGCGGATATGAACAAGAACCAACACACTGGACATCGATGTCTGGGAGGTGGGAGGGCAGGATGTCGGATATGGCGCGAGCGCACCTCGCTTGACCTCGTCTGCCCTCTCCCTCAATCTCCTCCTTCGCTCCTCCTGATTCTGTTCTGCATCCCTCCTCCCCCGTCTCGTCCTCCTCGCGTCCACCCCTGGAGGACTGAGCCACATGGGGGCACGAGAGGCCAAGTGTGCAGGCAGGGATCGAGGGGGGGGGGACTGCGAGTACCATGCTGGATTGAACTCGGGCTGACTCGGGGCAGGACAGCTGGGGAGTGCGGGGGGCTCCAGCCGATACCCGGGACGCACCGAAGAGACGCTGGCACGGTCGCCGTCTGAGACTGCCTTGCCAGGACGTGTCCGGCCGCCACCCTGGAGAGACAACGGCCGCGAGCCGACAGTCGAATCTGCGGGTTTGGCGGCTGCGGTGGCTCGAGTTTGCAATGCCACGGCTTCTTGCGTCCCCTTATCTCCTATCCGACAAACCCTGCAGGGGCTACTCATGACGCTTCTATCATCGATAGTGCATTAGCTGTGAGACTCACGTATTTCTTGCCTTGCGAAACGGTTCTCTTTTGAAAGTCCAGGACTGTTGTTGGAATTCGAGTCTCGTGGAAGTTGTCGTGTGCTCATATGGTTGACCGTCGCGTCTTGGTTCTTGATTCATATCGGTGCCGATGCCGAGTAACATTGATAGTACAAATTTGTTGTCGACGCAATACTGTTGAGGTCATGGGTTGGATCATGATGAATGGGGTGACAGTGATTTTGGTGAACATCGGTTCTCTTTGACTCGAGTATCAGAAGACGGATTTGCCAACTTGCCAACCTGACAGGACCTGGAGGAAAAGAAGCTTGGCCTCGAGAATACGATCGCACAACTCAAGGCCGATATGGAGGAGTTGAGCCAGGTGGTATCCGAGTCTGTACCGCGCCCAGCGTCGCCGGCTAGGCTTCAGACTCCACCCTCCCCGATCGCTCCTCCGTCCCTTGTCCGCCTCATCTTCCTCCTTCTGCCCCACCTCCTCCACCTCTCTTGCTCCGCTACTTCCTCCCTCTCCTCCTCTTCCTCTTCCTCTACTCCTTCGCCCTCTCCATCCGGCATGCTCAGTCGCCACCGCTCCGTGCGTCGAAAGACCCCTCGACCTCGTCGAGGATCTCGCCTCGCGAGGATGCGGCCGACATTCGCTGCCTCGCTGCCACCTCGCTGGTGCACACGGCCAGGGCCCATTCCATCATCGGTGGCTCAAGTATGAGGGCCTGAGGGATGGGGTCCTGAGGACGAAGCGCTTCAAAGTACGCAAAAGTTCACCCTTGGATCCCTTGCTATCCTTAGGAACCCATCCCTCAGGAGCCCATCCTTGACCACCGACATGTCGCCGCCCCGTTTGTTCCGACGCGCGGCCTTCCGCCCTGGGAAGGGCACCGCGGCCACCAGGGCAAACGCCGCCCGCCTCGGACGCGCGGTTGGCCGCAATCTTGCCGCGGTGCCGGGCGGGACGCACGACTTTTGCAGTGGGCGTGCCGGGGCGTCGTCGTCGTCGTCGTCGTCCATCTTTGGGCGCGTCGAGCGCAAGCGCCGCGGCGACACCTGCAAAGCACAGAGGTGCCAGAGCAGAGAGGGCACGGCCCAGGCCCACGGGAGGCGCAGCCTCCCCCCGCGCCCCTCGCGGGCTGCTCGCCTGTGCCCTGCCCCTGCGGCGTGCGAGGGGCGGGAAGCCTGGGCTCCGCCCTCGCACGAGCCCCGTGAGCCCACAATGTGAGGCGCTCCAGCAAGGGGCTCGCCTTCGAGGATCGGCGGGGTTGCCGTCTCTACCGCGGCGGGAGGCGGCGGAAGGGCGTCGGCAGGCGGCGGAAGTGAGGCGAGGGCGGCTTCGCCTGGGGAAGCCGACGGAAGTAAGATATGCGACCCCAGGAGATGAAGACAACGGCTTTGGGGTTCGGTGTTTCTGGACCCGCCATGCATGTCTTGAGGCCACGTCGTGCCGCTCCAGGTCTTGGGACCGGCAGCAGCTGATGGGTTTCCTCCAGGTTCGGGGCTCACGCCACGAGAGACAGCGCCAACGAAGTGCGGATGAGGGCTACCCTGGCCCAAGCCCACGGGGTCGATGTCATTGCCCGTCTTTCTGCGTCTTGGGGGCATGAGCACCGCCTTGTTGTGCGCCCTTCCCGCTTCTGCTGGCGCTTATGAAACTTGCCGACGGTGATCGCGAACTCCACGCTTTTCCTCAGACCGGGCTTCGCGAGGATGGCCTTGAGTTGCTGCTGGACCTGCGCCTTGGAGGGTTCTGCGCCTCCTTGCTCGTCGCTCTGCGTGATGACGATCCCCTGCTTCGGCCTTGGCCGCTGTTACATGTCGTCGCCCCTCTTGCGAATAGTCTTGATTTGTTCTCGCTGGGCGTGGGGTCAAGGTCACACTAATAAACATGGCATGCTGTTCGCGGTGATGTTGCTGCGGAGTCTCATGTTCAGTGGACGCATGAGAAGCATACATGCTGCCCTCCGCAATCTTGAGAGCTAAATGCTCGAGGTTCCTCTTTGGACCGATGTGGCATATCGAATTGCTGCCGTAATCCTGCCAAGGAATCTGGATCACACATTGCGCTCATTGTATCAATATTGGCAGTGGACACCCCGCAGGTGAGAAATTAACAATGACTAAGTACTGTTAGAATGGACTGGGCGAACATGTGCGCATGTTGTGATTTCTACCCCTCAACACCTGCCACGCACTTCGCCTTCGACCTACAGTTTGCCCGTGCGACTGTCTGGCAACGAGTCAAATTCTGGCACTGAAGACCCGACAACCTCCTGGCAATGCAGGGCGGGAGGCTCCGCGATCCTGGCTTTACGCCGTCTCAATACAACAAAATATAGTGTTGGTAAGATTAAGTCGGGCATGTCCCTCTACAGGAGGATTTGCAAACATAGTAAACCATTAGTCTGGGAACTATGTTTGAGCATTGTTAGAATATTGTTGAGCATGGTCTGACTCTTTTGAAGTTTTCTTTCAAAATCCGCCAGTCGGAGGACATGTCCGACCCAATGGTAAGACTTTCCGTGGCGAGCGACTTGCCAAACCACTCCACCGATGCGCTTTGCCTACCACTGCAGGGCCCTGCGCCTCTCGCGAGCCTTGTCCCAGCTAGCGCAGCCGCTCGCTCGGAAAGGTAGCCACCACCAGTGACCTACACCATGTCCCTCCAGTCGGCGCTGTACATCATGCGCTGCGAATGTTTGATCATGGTTCGGGCGATGCTTAGCCGCAGTCTGGGGCCACATCGGCAGCCCCACCCCGACTTCCACGCTCGCGAAGGCGATGCGCTAGTGCACGAAGACCTCTGCTCTGTGTACGTGAGGGACTATGACCTCCCCCCCGGAGTGCGGCAGCCTTTCCTGCAGTCGCAGTCCGCCACAGGCGGGCGACAAACCCCTCACGTCGGATGCTTCGGTCTCGGGAGCGCAGGCCTACACCTACAAGGGGGCCAGGCCCCGGGGCCTGGGAGCCGCAACATTGTCCGCAAAATGGGGCCTGCGGGGGCCCAGCCAGCTCCTCGGGGTCTCCAGGTCCGCTTCCACGGCGCTCAGACCCGCATCAAGGCGGCTCAAGAGGGCCCCGTGTCGCCCGCAAGACGGCATCCAAGAGATCCAGATGGCTAACGAGGCGTCCCGAACGGCGCCAGAAGCCTCGACGACGCATCAATAGCGCTCCAAGACGACTTCCAAGAGAGCCCCCAACGGCAAGCATCTTCCCATTCCCTTCGTGGAAACGTGCAGGTTTAGCATGTGCGGTTCTGGACCCTGCGTGTCAATAGTTGCTCAAGAGGCCCCTTGGACCGCCCCAAGACGGCCCAAGACGCCCCCAGGACGGCTCAAAGACGGCCCAAGAGGGTCCAAAGACGACACAAGAGGCGCCCAATGTGGCCCAAACGGGCCCCCAAAGGGACCAAAGAGAGACCCGAGATGGGGAACTCCAACTGACATTTGGAGCCCTCCGGTCCCAGAGTGTCCCCGAGGCCCCCAAGAGACCAACAACAGGCCCCCAAGCGGCTCCCAAGAGGCCCGGGAAGCCCCCAGGAGACCCCCACAAGGCCCCGAGAGGCCTTGAAGAAGCAAGCATCTGTGATTTCCTTGCGTGCTTGAATGATGAAAACGTTTTCGCTTTCGCGAGCCTCCGAAAGCCCCAGGAATCCCCAGCAGCTTCCCAGATAGCCCCAAACAGGTCGAAGAGGACCCAGAGGTGCCCCAAGACGACGTCAGAGGGACCCAAGACGGCCCACGAGGCCTCCAAGACGGCCAGGCCCCAAGAGGACCTTAAGATGGTCCGAAGCCCCAGGGATTCACTAGGACGCTCCCAGGAGGCCCCCGAAGGCTCCCGAAGGGCCCCCAGGAGGCCCACAAGAGGCCGTCGGAAGGGCCCCGGATATTTCACCGTCCCGCGGCACTCCGAGAGGCATCTAGGCCGCCCCCGATCCACACACGAGGCACAGGCCACGACCTACTTCATACCTCGTAAGTGGGCCCAGCCTACTTTCTAAGAGGGCCCAGCCTACTTTTGCAAGTCGGCTAGCTAACCTGTTTACGGACTACCTGTGTAAGCGGAGTCAGCTGACCGCAACCCACTTAGGTGAGCGTTTTTTATTCATAAGTTTGCCGATCGGCGCGGAACCTCGCACCCCTCTCCCCCCCTCCTGGAGTAGATCTTGGCTATTTCTGGGGCGCCTTTTTCGAGCAGGTGGAGTCACCCCCGTAATGGACGCCCTGTTGCAAACAGTCGCATTAAGCAGAGGTCCGGAGCCAGACCCCCCCCCCTCCCCCCCTTCCGCCCAATGTCGAAACGCCGAATACATTTTCCTGGCGAAGGACCTAACCATGTGCAGTTGTGAGTAACGCGTTCTGGGTGCCGCTTTCGGTGGAGCTCCCTCTGGGGCCACGAAACGCTTGAGGGACGTGCCGTAATGGATAGGGGAGACGCATGCGGGTGGTGCCATTGGGGCCTTCGGTGGGGCACCCTATGGGCCACGAAACGCTGTACTGGGTGTGGCGGACGCACGCGGGCGGTGCAGGGGGGTGGGGGGAGGGGGGAGGGCTTCTTTGAACCACGCCTGCTTCTTAGAAGGCGTGGACCTTATCTACAGATGTAAGGCCAGCGCCTTCTGAGAAGCAGCCTCCTTCTAAGAAGTTGTCCCCCCTCTCTCCATCCCCCTGTGCGCGCCGCCAAACGATGGGAGCAACATAACACGTGCGCGAGCGCGAGCGTGCTCTGGCCAGCCGTGCTGGCCCTCCTGGCCGCCTCCTGGGCGACGGGGGGGGGATGGAGGGTTGTTCCGAAGGGCTTAGGCGACCCGTCCTCCTCGTCGTCCTCCTCCTTCTCCTTCTCCTCCTCCTTCTCCTTCTCCTTCTCCTTCTCATTATCCTTGCCCTCCTTCCTCCTCCTCCTCCTCCTCCTCCTCCTCGTGCTCCTCTTCCTCCTTCTCCCCCCTCCTCCTCCTCCTCCTCCTCCTCGTCCTCCTCCTCTTCGTCCTCCTCCTCGTCCTCCTCCTCCTTCTCCTCCTCCTCGGGTCGCCTACGGCCCCGGGGAAAGCCGTGCAGGGGGGGCGGCTGGGCGGGCGGCCGCGGCGGGCTCTCTCGCGGGGGCGGCTGCGCGACAGGGCCGCGGCGCCCTCTGCCGCCCGCGGGTTTTTGGGCGCAGCGGCTCCGCCGTGTTGCCCGCGAGGTCACCGCGCAGCGTCGGCCGCGCACGGCCGCCTCGCGGGGCGCCCCGCTGCGAGGCTTAAGTAGGGCCTGTCCCTCTACAGGAGGCGACTTCAAAAACAGTGAACCAAAATCGTCTGGAGACGTTTTTGTTGCATTAATTATGACCATGTTGAGATGTTTGTTTGATACTTTTTGTTTTGCGCCCACACTCCGCCTGTAGGAGGACGTGCCCGACCCCAAAGTAGTAAAACAACATCGTCGTGGGCGATGTTTTGATTATGTATGACTGTTTTTAGGATCTGTTGTTTGTACTTTTTATTATTCGTCCACGGTCTGCCTGTAGGAGGACATGCCCGACCTAAGCCTGGACGCGGCGGCTCCGCCGGGGCGCCCGTGAGGTGGCCGCGCAGCGTCGGCCGCGCACGGCCGCCTCGCGGGGCGCCCCGCCGCGGAGCTGCCCGCGCTCTCGCCCGCGGCGCTCGGGCGGCCGTCCGCTCCGAGGGGGGGGAACAAGGGGCAATTACCCCTAAATCGGGCGTGTTCCTCTACAGGATGAGTATTCAAAAGTAGTCCAAAAATAGTCTGGGGACGACTTCTAGACTATTCGCGACTATTTTGGAGCATTTTTGGGGTATTTTTTTTTTTCGTCCACAATCCGCCTGAAGGGGGGCACGCCCGACCTAAGGGCACCCCTACCGCTGCCCCGTTCCCTCGCTTTCCTTTTGAGTTGGGCCTCCTGGGAGGCCCTCGTCGCCACCGCTGGCTTCGCCTGGGAGCAGCAGTATCGGCACCCCGGAAGAGGACCAGGGAGCAGCAGTATCGGCACCTCTCGGTTTCCCCGGCAGCTGCCCGCGCACCGCGCGTCGTCTTCATCGCGGGGGTCCTCGGGGTCTTTGTCCGCGGCGGCTTTCCTGCCGGTGTTCGACCTCTGCTGGGCAACAACGTTCTCCTCCTTAGATACTCCCCTCCTCATCTGACTCGCGTCCTTCATGCACATTCAATCCTCTTCATCTGGCTTCCTCGCCCCACGCGCATCCGATCTGGGATCGGTTGTCATCCCCACCGGGCTACTTGGGAGGCTGGCTGCCAGTTCCCGACAGTGGGGGATCCCTGTGTGAAGCAGTCAGGGACATGAGGATGGGTCAGGCAGGACATGTGAAGGGAGGGAACAGGCGCGTGGGCCATGAATGGGGTACGTACGGCAGTTCCTCAGGCGGGGGGGCGGGGGGGGGGAATGGACAGAAAAAGAGGGGAAAGGGGAAGTTTGTTCGACGATGTACACGTTTTTCTGGAAGGCGGCATCGGAGCTTGAAACGGGCATCCAGGCCGACGCGTAACACGTAGGCGCCTCGAGGCCATAGCCAATGATGCAGACAGCTTGGAGCTGAGAAGAGCACGGGCGCGAGCCGAGAGGACGAGAAGGAGCATGAGAGCGCGGAGGAGGACGAGATCGTGGAGTTGGGGCGGAGGCGAAGACGCGGAGGCTGACGCTGAGGATGCAAGACGATGGCGTACGGATATGGGTCGAGGGTTCCCGACCGCTGACGCCAGGATCCTGTCACGACGCTGAAGGTGTTGGCCCGAGTGCCCCCGACCGCCCGAAGCCCTTCGACCATCGTCACGTGATCCCTCACCTCGATCCCCGACCCCCCGCAAGTCTGTTTGATCCCCGCTCCTGCTCCCTCAGACTCCCCTCGCCTGGAGGGTTTCTCCGAAGGGCCTAGGCGACCCGTCCTCCTCCTCCTCCTCATACTCCTCTTCCTTCTCCTCATCTTCCTCCTCCCTTCTCCTCCTCCTCCTCCTCCTCCTTATCCTCCTCCTCCTCCCTCCTCCACCTCCTCCTCCTCCTCCTCCTACTCCTCCATCCCCTCCTCCACCCCCTCCTCCTCCTCCTCCTCCACCTCCTCCACCTCCACCTCCTCCTCCTCCTCCTCCTTCTCCTCCTCCTCCGCCTCCTCCTCGGGTCGCCTACGGCCCCGGGGGAAACCGTGCACCCTCGCCTCAGCATACTGCCCCTCTGTTCGCCAGGAAGCCCCGCCGAGACGGGTCGTGCAGGGGGTAGGCTCAAGGAGGAGGATGAGAAGGAAGACAGGGTTGAAGAAGATCAGCAGATTGTGAATGAGGATGCGAGGGGTGCTTGAGGAGGAGGCGGAGGAGGATAATCGTGGGAAACGGATGATGACGATGAGGCGGAGCAAGAGGGAAAACGAGCATGATTTTGAGGAGGAAAGGATGAGGCGAAAGCGGCAGAGGAGGTGGAGGAGGCATTTGGCGGGCGGAGGACGAGGAGGACCAGTATGAGGCGGAGGAGGAGGAGGAGGAGGAGGAGGAGGAGGAGGAGGAGGGGGACGGAGTGGCGTGTCACCGGCCTAAGGAGAAGAGCCTCAAGCAGGCGGGCGAGGATCGCAAGGCGGAGAATCTCCTCTTCCAGGAGTCTGTGTCCGACGCTCGTGCCACGGCCCAGTGCTTATCCGCAGCGTGCCGATGTCGTATTCTCTTTTCCCCTCCCCCTTAGTTCCTGCCTCCCTCATCCCCGTCCCAACACGTACTCATCCCCATACCTGGTATGTTGACCTGTTCCTTCCCCCCTCTTCTTCGCCTCCCCTTCCCCCTATGTGGATGTCCAACTGTGATTCCGTTCTGCGCAGTGCCGATTCGGCTCCTTAGGGGGATCTGGCACCAGAGCTCCGCAAGCTGACACCCAAAGAGGAGGAGGCGGACGAGGAAGAGGCGGAAGAAAAGAGGGGAAGGGAGGAACAGCGCGTGGGCGGATGGATAGGGCGAGAGGGGGAGGGGAGAAGGGGCAAGGGGGAGGGGCAGCAGTATGGGGATGGGGGGATATGGGGGGGGGGATGGGGAGGAGGGGAAAGGGGAGGACGAGGAGGAGGAGGAGAAAGCCGTCTCGGGGCTTGGATCTGCTCTTATTTGTTCACCAGGTTGTGTCTGTTTAGCAAGGCATTGAGCTGCTTAGCTCCAGGATGCCACCGTGACTGCTGCCCAACCCGCACATTACTGCGCTCGATTCTGGCAGCACCTGAGGCTGTGAAGCGTCGTTGGTATAACGCCACCGACAGTGCGCCTTGGAACACAGCGCGTCTTGGAATACTATGGCTGGGATGGTTTTGCGCGGGTGCCTTTTGCATCCTGGCCGCTTCCTTATTATACTTAATCGCGTTGGCCAGCTGTCGAAATCGTTTGCAACTTGGACGCCGGGGCCTTGCATCATTGCCGTTCATCCTTTATGACGCGCCGCGGCTGCACAGCGTTGCCAGCAACGACGGAGCAGAAGCCCCCATTCAGGTTCATTGCGAGCATACGTTGCTTGCGCCACTGGTGGCACACGCACGGCCGATTCGGACTTCGCGTCGTGGGCAGTCAGGCCGACCATTTGCGTTTGGGACGCGGCGGCGTCCGAAATCGATGCCGCAAGAGACTCCACCTTCCCACGGTAGCTGTGATTTGGGTGGGACGCGCGGCTGGGCGAGGCCACGCAGCCAAATCCCTCGACATGCCGAACGCCTTCGCGACTGACGGTTGCTGAAGACTCCTGCAAGCCATCCGCGAGCACACCGCTGACGCATACATCCTTCAGCTCTTGCGCGACCACAAGGTGCGTACCATCATACACGTCGGCGCCGGCAACGGCAGCTAGGATATCCGTCCAACTATGCGCGCGCAGTCGGGCAGAAGCAGTGACACATCTTTTCGCATGATCAGGGGTCGTTTCCCTCGTCGATGATGTTCATCGGGGTGTTCGCCCTCCCTCCTCTCCATTCCTCCCTTCTCCTTCGCCCCTCCTCCTGTCCCCCCCCCTTTCCTCGGGCCGCTATGGCGGCTCTGGTCGCCGCGTCGCCCGTCGACGTGATGCTCATCGGAAAGGCCTGGACTCTGGTCTTGCGCAAACCTGGCAGCCGCACCCTGAAGACTCATCTAGCAAAAGCTGGTCGCCTCTGTTTCGCCAGACTTCCCCCACCCCGAAGGCAACCCCTGCAGGTCCTGAGATCATCGATGACATCTTGCCTGCCGCCCACCGGATGACAGCTGCGCCTCTCTGGTGGCCTTTGGCGTTGCCCCCTGCTTCGGCAGCTCGCACTGCTCGGGCACGGCGTGCGGGTACACAGGGCGATGGTGCCTGAGTCTGCCTACACGCACCTTGTGGCGAAGATCCTCTACGTCTGCAGCCTCTGCCCATTTTCCTCCTCGGCGGCCGCCCTCATGGTTTTCCAATGCGTCTTAGTGTGCCAACAGCTCTGGCGCGGCCCATCGGTTATCCGAACGCGTTGGCGTCCGCCCTCGCTGCTGGCAATGGTTTCCGCAGGGCCTTGTTTTGCAAACCCGCCGAGACGTAGCACCTCGGCCCCACCGCGCCCAAAGGCAGCGGGCTGTTTCCTTCAGCGCAGTCAGGCCATCTCCACGTGTTTGCTCTCATGAGCCATGCACAAGAGACCCCGTGCATCGCATTGGCCACCAGCCACCTTGTCAGCGATATTGATGTCGCACGTGCTCAGGATGTTACTAGGGAGGCTGCGAGACTGCCGCTGCATGTCATGTCTTTCACGGCCTCTCGGCCATTGTGTGTTGCGCGCGCGGAATCTCTATGAATGCCAGCGCCAGCTCCTTCGGGCATCGCACCAGTCATTGCCGCGTCTGCTACTTCATCGCGCGAATGCAGCCTCGCGGGGCCGACACTGACATGACGATGCTGCACACGTAGTGGCGCTCAATTACGAACAATGGTCACAATCTGGGGGCCGCTCCGGCTGGGCGGCTCTAGTAGATCTATCGAATGGCCCTCGGTTTATCTCGCCCTCGTGCTTAGCGTGTGGGTCACAGGTCTCTGGGATGTTCGGTGGGATGCCGTGGGAGGCCTCTTGAGGGCCGTTCGGGGGCCTCTTGGAGCATCTTCGGGGCCTCTTTGGAGCTTCTTCGGGCCTCTTCGGCGCCTCGTGGGGCCACATTGAGGCCTTTTGGGGGCCTTTTGGGGCGGAAGGCTCTGATTGTCGGTTCGTGTTCCCCCTCTTGGGCCTTTTTTGGGGGTTGTCTTTGGGTTCTCTTGGGCCGTCTTGGGCGCCTCTTGGGGCCATCTAGGAGCTCTTTCGGGCTGTCTTGGGGCTCTTTGGGGGGCCTCTTGGGCCGTCTTGGGGCGGTCTTCGGGAGCTCTTGGGCCTTCTTGGGGCGTCGGAAGCTCGAAACGCGGAGCCCCAAACACAATAAAACATTTGAGGGAAATTCGTGAGTTTGGCCTCTCGAGGCCCACTCGGGAGTTTCTTGGACCGCTTTGGGGCCATCTTGGGCGTTTTGGACCGATCGTGCGGCGATTTGCAGTCCCCCTTGGATCGTCTTGGGGGCCTCTTGGGGCGTTCTTGGCCCGTCTTGGGGCTCTCTTGGGCCCGAACAATTCGTGCGACAACACTCCGGGGGTCCCAGGGGCCACGCAAAAAGTCCCAGAAGATTTGGCAATGCGGTCTGGGTCCCATGGAGAAGCCCCAGGATTGAGGAATGAGGCTTCAGGGATCAGGCAGATGACCTGGGGACACTCCACTTCGTGCCACAGGGGCACGGTTACGCATATGAGGGTCGACGCCTTGTCGGCCCAAGTGCACGCTCTGCGAACAGTCCGCTTCGCCCCAGGAGGTATCTCAGCAGGCAGTGGAGCCTCAGCCATGCATCGCCGGCCATTTCGACGATTCACCATCGAACCCTGGTGCTAGCATGAAGGCTGCTGATTCCCGCGCCCGTGCGTCAGCTATGCGTTTCCCTGATGGTGGCGCGCAAAAGCAGCATGTCGGACAGAGCCAGGACGAGGATAAATCCGTCTCAGAGCATTCCGAAACGCTCTCAGAGCGTTCTGGAGCGCTCTGAGAAGGCCGCGGCGCCCGAAACATTTTTCAGAGCCGCTGGATCTCAGAGATTCTCGATTTATTTTCACTCGATGATGTCCCCGCCCTGGCTTCGTAAAATCAGTACGATGGTGTGCTTTCAGGTCCAGAGCACGACTGGGAGGATGGAGCCTGTTCTTTTGCACAGTTGTGTTCTAGAGCTAGAACCGCTTTATTTTCGCTCGTGGTTCGTTCGTGGTTCATCGTCGTCCCCCTGGCTCTGTCCCCCCTTCCCTGGGCCACTCGCCCCAGCCCACACATCTAGCCCCTGGTCCCAGTCTCAGCCGCATGGCCCTGGCCATGGACGCAGCTTTCCCCCTGGCCCTGGCCCCAGACCGAGCCTCTGCTCTGGCCCTGGTCATAACACCCCTCGCCCCAGACTCTTGTGTTTTCGTTCGTGGTTCGTTCGTCGTTCGTCGTCGCCCCCCTGGCTCTGGCCCCTCTCCCCTGGCTTCCTCGCCCCAACCCAGACTTCTGGCCCCTGCTCCCTGTCCCAGCCCCCTGGCCCTGGCCCCAGACCCAGCCACCGCTCTGGCCCTCGCCCCAGCACCCCTCGCTGTGAACCCTTTACTTTCGCTCGTGGTTCGCTCGTTGTTTGTCTTCGTCCCCCAGGCTCTGGCCCCCCTCCCCTGGACCCCTCGCCCCAACCCAGACCTCTAGCGTCTGCTCCCAGCCCCAGCCCCGTGGCCCTGGCCCTGGACCCAGCCTCCCCTCTGTTCCTCGCCCCAGACCGACCCTCTGCTCTGGCCCTGGTCCCAGCACCCTTCGCCCCGGACCCTTAATTTTCGTTTGTGGTTCGTTCGTGGTTCGTCGTCGTCCCCCTGGCTGTGGCCCCCCCTGCTTTAAGCGTTTCGCCCCAACCCAGACATCTGGTCCCTGGTCCCAGTCCCAGCCCCCTGGCCCTGGACCCAGCCTCCCCCCCTTGCCTTGGCTCCGGACCCAGCCTCCGCTCTGGCCCTGGCCCCAGCCCCACCCTGCCTTGGTTCCCGCTCCACTCCTCCTCCTGCCCGTCCTCCTCATCCCGTCCTTCGTTGCCTGATTGTGCAAGGGCCAGGGCACGCCTGCCACTTGTTTTGTTAGTGCGGGACGATGGCGGCCGTCACCCATGGCAGGGAGCGGGGCTGGTGACATCACGTTTCGCGCCAGCGGCGTCAGGGAATGCTTAGGGATGACCGAATACGGGTATCAACAGCTACAATGTAGGTGGCGATCTGCACAAAAGAGCCTGTGTACACCACAGTGCCTTCGTGCACCACGACGCTTGTGTACACCACAGCGCCCATCTACACCACGGCAGCCGCGTGAAACACAGCGCCGGTGTGCACCACAGTGCCTGTGTGTACCGCAGCGCTCGTGTACACCACAGCTCCTGCGTTCACCACATCAGCCGTTTGCAACACAGCACCGATGTGCACCACCGTGCCCACTTGCACCACAGCGCCTGCGTACACCGCGGCGCCTGTGTGCACCACAGCAGTCGTGTGCAACATGACACCATGATTGCATATAGAGTCTCAGAAGGAATATGTATGGTAAAATGGAGCGCCTGCGGGTTTCACAGAAAACAGTTCTGTTACACAGGATTCTATGGAAGAAGAAGCGCTTCTGGATTCTACTAGTCCTACCGTGTCCTCCCACATAATCCTAACTCCTCCCATTTGCGTCCAGAAGGCTCCCGCAGAGTTGGCCGTCCGAGAACCAAGTGGACTGATTCAATAGACCATTGTTCCAGGATGTGCGCTGAGATGCGCACGTGCGCTGTAGCGCCGACCCGCACGACGGGGGGAAGGGGGAAGGGTGAGGGAGGAGGAGGAGGAGGAGGAGGAGGAGGAGGAGGAGGAGGAGGAGGAGGAGGAGGAGGAGGAGGAGGAGGATGGAGGAGGGAAAAACATCGAATTCTATTATCAGCGCTCCCCTTGCGTGGTGTTTACCCGTCCGCAGCAGATCCTCGCCCACATGCTCCTTCTAAGAGTCCTGTGCACGCAGGCACTGTGGTGTACACTGGTGCTGTGGTGAACACAAGTGCTATGGTGCACGCAGGCAATGTGGTGCACACTGGCTCTTTGTTGCACGCGGCTGCTGTGGTGTACAAAGACGTTATGGTGTACAAAGGCGTCGTGTTGCACGAAGGCACTGTGGTGTACACCTGCTGTTGCGTTGCACGCGGCTGTTGCGGTGTACGCAGGCGTTGTGGTGTACACGCGCGTTGTGATGCACGCAGGCACTGCGGTGCACACCGGCGCTGTGTTGCACGCGGCTGCTGTGGTGTACATCGGCGTTGTAGTGTACACAAGCGTCGTGGTGCACGAAGGCACTGTGGTGTACACAGGCGCCGTGGTGCAGATCGCCAGCTACATGCTGTTCCTACGTGGCCTCGGTCATCCTTTGGCACTCCCAGACGCCGCCGGCGCAGAACGTGACGTTACCTGGGGGGGGTGGGGGGCGCGGGGCCGGTGTCGGCCATTATCGCGGAAAGTAAAAACAGACTCATGGCAGCGCCGTGGTTGCTGGGCCTGTGAGGTGCGAGACAGGCCTCGCTGCATTGGCGGCTGCGCTGGCGCGGACTCGCACCTTTTGGGAAAGACGCTGATTGTCGGGCAGACGATCGCGCTAAATCTGCCCTCCCCTCCTGTCTCTCTCTCTCTCTCTCTCTTCCTCCATTCCCGGCCCAGTTGGCTCACCTCAAGCATACAATTTTTAACGCGCGTTGTGGTGCGCCTCGGGCATACAACGCTCGGGATGCTCCTCCGTGTTGGTTCCGGTTGCGCGGAACTCGTTTCGTCATCATTCCGGTTGCGCTTCACCGGAAAACACCCCTAAAGTTGTCGCGCCGAATCTGCTTGCGAGTGCCGCGAACTGCGGCGGACTCGGTCTGCTTTCAGGGCGGGCGTGGCCTTGAGACGGTCATTGGCATTTTGGGGGTTTCCAGCTTGATAGCGTATGAAGGTGACGACGATGGTGCACCGATTTTCTTTTGATCTGGTGCGCAACATCGCACAGCTGGTGACCTCGCTGCGGCATCGAAGCTAAGGACCGTTTTGTATCTGTCATTTCGCAAACCTTTCCTTCGTTACTCCCCACGTTATGTGCCTCTCATCCGCCGTCGTCGTACGCGCGCACGCGATTCGATTGATATCTCAGCGCTCTGCAATATGTGTTGCGTTGATGTGGTTGTTGTAGACAGTTGTTTGTCACTAGCTGTCAGGACGGAATGTCAGGAATGCCAGGAAGGTTGTCCCATTGCCTGACGCCGGTCAGCCTCATTGCGTGCAGCACTCATCTGTCAGTCATCGCCGCGCATGTTCGTCCTTGAGATCGAGCGTTCGGATCAGACGAAGGCGTTCGCTCGCTCCTCCTCCTCCCTTTCTCCAACCTCCTCGTCAGACTCCAGCCAGGTCCAGGTGCTCAAGAAGGTTCAGGCCCGCATGGAGCAATTCTACGGCAAGCAAGGTGCTCTGGTGCAGACTGATGCTCGGCAAGAGCCATCGAAACCTGGACAGGCCACTGAGGGACATCAGAGATTTCTCGTCGTAGCAGTCCATCCCCCATCTCATGTCCTGCTCCTTCCCTTCATTCTCCTTGCTCATGCGCTTTTGCTTTTTCCCCTCCTCGCCCCCGCCCCCCCTCTCCTCCTCTCAAGTGTCCATTCCTCGCGCTCCTCCCGTCCTCCTACCCCACCCCTGCGCTTTGACTTTTTTCCCCTCTTCGGCCCCCTCACCCCCTCGCCTCCCTCACGTCCCCACTCTTCACCCTCCTCCCCTTCTCACACCCTTCCTTCTCCATTGCCCCCTTGCTGCTCTCCCTCCTGCCCCTCTTCCCCTCCCCCACGAGGGGCAGCGGGGAAGGGGGGCAGGCAGAGGCGGCCAATCTGCACAGCCAAGCGGCCCAAAATTTTGAATAGATCGCGAGCCTGCTTTCCTCCCCCGACCACTCTCTTGGGTTTGTCTGCTCTGCAGACAAAACTTGACCAGAAGGGCCCACTCTCCCTCGTCCTACTGCGCAGCCCCCGCGCACCCCCGCAGGCCAATGCCCCAGAGCCGGGGCAGATGACCTACGAGAAGAGCGCCGGCGCCAGCGGCGGGCAACGGGCAGCACGGTGAGAGGTGAACGCACCCGTGTGTGTGTGTGTGTGTGTGTGTGTGTGTGTGTGTGTGTGTGTGTGGGGGGGGGGGGGGGGGGGGGGCGGGGGGGGAGGGAGAAGGCTTAGATGGAGGCGGAGGGCAAGGAGAGCAGAGGGGCGGAGGGGTCGAGGTGCAGCTGGCGCGAGGGCCAAAGAACAGCACCAGCCAAGAACAGACCCCTCCTTCTCTACTACGGCAGCCGGAGTGCAGCTGAGCTGGCTCGATGGCCTCAGGCCCCGGGAGACCAGGACACGGATAAACCAGGGCACGGGGAACCAAAGAAACGACACCTTTTTCCTGCAAGTTCACGTAATCTTCAGCACCCGTGCAATTATTGTTTGCTGCTCTGCAGGATTCGGGTTTGTGTCCGGGTTTCTGGGGGGCTGACAGGCTTTTAGGGCCCGTGCCCGGGTTGTGCAGTGTTTTTTTTCGTGCCGCCGTTTGGAAACATTGGCTTCGAGGGATGCTGGGTGTCTGAGTCTGGCGTGTCCGGGTTTACGGGGCCCTGAGGGCCGAGAGCAGCACCAGCTTTCGGGTTGACCCAAACGGGGGTCCAGCGACAAGGGGGCGGTGCAGTAGATTTGGTGCAAAACATTTGTGGAATTGCAGTACATTCGGGGCGTGCAATACAGTCCGGGGCGCAAATGTATTGCTGGACTTCCGCGTGCAATGCATTACTTGCAATACACTGCAATACAAGTCTCTGGCGCAATACATTTGCAATACACTTGCCCCAAATCTATTGCACCACCTCCTTTCAGCTGGACCCCCTTTTGGGTCACCTAAAAGCTATGTGTGCGGTGTCCTTATGCCCGCGGATGCAGCAGCACAGCTTCGGATGGGCCCGGGCCCCTCGGTGGAGGGGCCTTCGTTCTTGACCCGCGTCCTTGTGGCCAATTTTGATCTTGGGCATGTCCCTCTACAGGGGGGAAATTCAAAAATAGTAAAAAATAGTCTGGGGAAGATGTGTTGATTATTTTCTGCTACTTTTGAGTATTTTTGAATATTCTTGATTATGCGCCCCACATCCGCCTGTAGGGGAACATGCCCGACCTTAGCCAAGTTTCGATCGCAAGCGAAGAAGACATGACGGCATAAGCATAGACTTTCGACGCTCCGCGCGGATTTCTTGGATGTGCGCTGCACGCCCCTGGCGGCGTCGCCGGTGCCGCCCCTGGCGCGCTCCGCGCGCACGTGTCCTATCGAAGACGCCTACGGCGAATCACCGCCGCCCCTTGCCCCTTTGGAAGCGCCTATGTGGCCGACAGTTGGGCTAGAGCTTGGCCAAGCTATCGGGCCAGTTGTTCCCCGAGTCGGTTGGGAAAGTCTTCGGGGAACGCGTTGGGGAGCAATAGGAGGAGGATCAGGAGAGGGAGGAGGAGGATGATTAGCAAGAGGATGAGGATGAGGATGAGGATGAGGATGATGGGGAAGGAAGAGGAGTAGGAGGAGGAGACTTCTTGGGAACCGTCTTGCGAGGCCTCTTGGGAGGCCTCTGCGGAGCTTCCTGGGAGCCTTTGGAGGCCTCTTGGGAGCCTCCCTGGGCCTCTTGGGGGCTTCTTGGGGGCCTTTGGAGGCTTCTTGGGGGCCTTTGGGATCTTCTTGGGGGCCTCTTTGGCCGTCTTCGGGCGTTCCCGACCCGTCAGAACAACGTCGGAAGCCGTCTTGGCGGCCTCTCTGAACCGGCTTGGGGCTCTCTTGGGGCGCTTCAGGGCCGTCTTGGAGAGTATCTTGGACGTCCTGGCTGTCGCCGTCTTGGGGGCCTCTTGGGCCGTCATGCGGCCATCTTGGAGGCCTCTTGGGCGATCTTGGGGCGACCTTGGGGGCCTCTTGGGCCGTCTTGGGCCGTCGGAAGGCCGAAAAGGCGCAAATGCTAAAATCCTTTCAAAAACTTGCGGGGAAATTAATGATTTTGGCCTCTTCGGGGCTTCCTGGAGGACCTCTTCAGGGCCTCTTGGGCCGTCTGGAAGGCCTCTTAGGGGCCGTCTTGGGCCAGGTTGAGGCCATCTTGGGCCGTCTTGTGTGCATCTTGGGCTGTCTTGACGGCATCTTGGTGTCATCTTAGCCGTCTTGGAGGCCATCTTGGCCGTCTTGGTGGGCATCTTGGGTCATCTGGGAGCCGTCGAGAGCAGGAAAAACCTTTGGGACCACCTCTGGAAGAGCCTTCGGGGGTCCCCGGCGGACTGGGCCGGAGCCCCAGGGGGAGTTGTTCTTTGAAAAAGAGCCAAAACCTCTTGGGGGCCTCTCCAAAACCTCTTGGGGGCCTCTCTGAACCGACTTCGGGCCCTCTTGGGGCGCCTCAGGGCCGTCTCGGAGACCATCTTGGGCGTCTTGGAAGCCTCTTGGGCCATCTTGGGGCCCTCGTGGGGGTTTCTTGGGCCGTTATGGGGTCATTTTGGAGGACTATTGGGCGATCCTCGGGCGACCTTGGGGGCCCCTCTTGGGCCGTCTTGGCCCGTCGGAATGCCGAAGAGGCGCAAATGGCAAAATCCTTTAAACAATGTAAAGGAAATCAATGATTTGGGCATCTTCGGGCCTTCCTGGAGGACCTCTTTGAGGTCTCTTGGGCCGTCTTGAGACTATCTTAGGCCGTCTTGGAGCATCTTAGGCCGTCTTGGAGGCATCGTGGGGCCATCATAGCCTTCTTGGAGGCCATCTTCGCCGTCTTGGAGGCATCTTGGAGACCATCTTGGGCCATCTTGGCCGTCTTGGAGGTCATCGATGGCATCTTGGAGGCCTCTTGGGCGGTCCTGGGACCCTCTTGGGGCAGTCTTGAGCGCCTCTTGGGCCGTCATGGGGCCATCTTGGAGGCCTCGTGGGCGATTTTAGGGCGATCTTGGGGGCCTCTTGGGCAGTCTTGAGCCGTCGGAATGCCGAAAAAGAGCAAATGCTAAAAACATTGCGCAGAATCAATGGTTTTGGCCTCTTCGGGGCTTCCTGGAGGACCTCTTGGATGCCTCTTGGGCCGTCTTGGAGGCCTCTTAGGGGCCGTCTTGGGCCATCTTAAGGCCATCTTAGGCCGTTTTTGGTGCATCCTGGGCTGTCCTGAAGACATATTGGGGCCATCTTAGCCGTCTTGGAGGTCATCTTGGCCGTCCTGGAGGCCTCTTGGGGCCCTCTTGGGGCCGTCTTGGGAGTCTTGTGGGCCGTCATGGGGCCATGTTGGAGGCCTCGTTGGTGATCTTGGAGTGATCTTGGGGGCCTCTTGGGCCGTCTTGAGCAGTCGGAATGCCGAGAAGAAGCAAATGCCATAATCCTTCAAACACCTTTTTGGAACATGTATTAATTTGCCTCTTCGGGCCCTCCTGGAGGACCTGTTGGAGGCCTCTTGGGCCGTCTTGGCTCATCTTGGAGGCTTCTTGGACGTGTTTGAAGGCACTTGGGATCTCTTGGGCCATCTTCGAAGCCATCTTCGACCATCTTAGGCGAACTTGAGGGCCATTTCGGGCCATCTGAGCCGTCTGGGAGGCTATCTTGGGCCATCTTGGAGCGGGACAGGCATTGACATGTGTAGTTTCCGGTCCTTCCCGGGACCCCAGTGGGCTGGGCCGAAGCGCCACGGGGAACTTTTGTTGGAAAAGAACCAAAACCAAGACCGAAAGGGTTCAGCACGCCAGGCCCCCCTGTGATGAATCAACAGGGGTCGGCGGATCTAATGCCCTTCGACCCATCCCGCCACCGTGCCCAGATTGTGGGTCTGAGTGTTCGGGATGCTTATTGGGTTCTTTTCAGAGAGCTCTCAGGGGCCTCTGGGGGGAGTTTTTGTGGGATTCCTGGGAGGGCCTCTTGGGAGCGTCTTGGGGGCCTCTTGGGGCTTCTGGGGGACTTCTTGGTGGCCTCTTCGAGGCCTCTTGGGGGCTTCTTGAGGGGCTTCTTGGGGGCCTCTTGGGGCATACTGGGGGGCTCTCGGGGCCGAGGGCTCGAAATGTTCGTTCGGGTCTCCCGTCTGGGCCCCCTCTGGGAGACGTCTTGGGGACCTCGTGGGCCGTCTTGGGGCGATATGTTGGGGCGATGCGTTGGGCCTCTGGGGCCATCTTGGAGCATCGGGAAGCCGAAAAGGCGAGAACGCCCAAATCAGTCAAAAACCTTAGGAACATCAGTGATGTTTGCCTCTTGGGGCTCTCTTTGGAGTGCTCTCGGAGGCCTCTTGGGGCGTCTCCAAGGCCTCTTTGGCCGTCTTGGAGCGATCTTTCGGCGATTCTGGGCCCTCCTGGACCGTCTTGGCGGCCTCCCGGGGCTTTCTTGGCTCGCTTTGGGGCCCTCCTGAGCGAGGGGACCGTCCGGGAGGCCCACGGGAGAAGCCCCGGCAGCGCCCAGCACCGCCCGGCAGCGCCCATGAAGCTAGGGGTCCAGGCCCTTCAGAAACGTACGAACCCTCCACTTCTCAGGGCTGCATGAGCCCTGGGGCATTCCGCTGCGTGCCAGAGGCACGGTGGCGGATATTACGGGGGTGTAATCGCCAACGCTCGCTTCTCTGGACGGCGGCCATCTGGATCCAAGCAGCAGTAGGGCAGCGATGGTACGCAACGAAGCAAATTACGGCACAACCAGAAGACATGAAGACTGGACGAAGGAAAAGGATCCCCATCACACGAGCAACCCAAAAAACGGTTTCGCTAGCGCGGACATTCGCGCGTAAGTTGCCCGCGTGAGGTCGCGCGTGAGCGCCCTCGTTTCCAACGTCGTGTGTCGCGCTGGCGGCCCGCGCAAGCCACCGCGTTAGGTGGCCCTGTCATCTCGCGTAAGGCCCATTGCTTTCTCGTCAGTTGCATGCGCATTCACGTCCGGAACGTGAGGTGAGGTGCGGGCGCTTCCGGGGGGCCGCGCCTCCCAGAGACCCATTCTCGCACCGCGCACCACGGGACGTGCTTTTCCCGGAGTGGCCACACTGACTGCCAGGGGTCCGTTCCCCGAAGCGCTCCGGGGCGCCTTGGCTCTTCGTCGGGGGAGAGGGGGGCTCCCCGTGCAGTCTGGATCTGACGCCTTCGCTGGGCCCGAGGCTGGGCCCTGCCCCCAATCTCCGGCCGACCATTCCCGCTTCTCGGGATTCCCTTGGGACTGTCCAGGTCAACCTCCGTAGCCTCTCCAGGCCCTCGTTGGGCTCTGTAAGCGTATCGTTGGCTCTTCCGAGGCCCTCGTGGAAGCACCTTGAGTTCCCGGCAGAAGGAGAGTAACTGCAAGATCAAGAGGCGCAACGGGTGCTGCTCGCCGCGACCAGCAGACCCTCGTGCGACTTGAAATGGGCTCTCATGCGCGGGCACCTCTCGCTCCTCGGCGGCGAGGTCGGCGGCAAAGTCAGAGGGAGAAGGCCTTCTCAGAAGGAGGCGGGACGTGTCCGAAGCCCTCGCGCCTTCTGAGTTCTCTGCGTCTTCCGGGGAGGCTGAGAGCACTTCTCGGGAGGCCCGCGGCCTTCCGAGCCTTCTGAGGAGACCCGCCCCTTCTCTCTTCCCCCCCTGGGCTCGCCGCCGAGTTCCGATGAAGAGAGCGACAGGTAAGATCAAATCTCCGAGCAGTGCTTGCACCATTGGGTTCTCCCCGCTGCCACCACGGTTAAGTCGGGCGTGTCCCCCTACAGGCGGATCTTGGACGAAAACAAAAAATACCCCAAACATGATTCCCCAAATATCCTAAAATGCTCCACAAATCGTCCCCAGACCATTTTTGGACTATTTTTGGACATTCCTCCTGTAGAGGGACATGCCCGACTCGACACCACGGCATCGGATGGACGTGGCGGGGCCTCCCCCCGCGGGCGGCCGCGGGCGCCCCGTGGGCGCCCCCAGCGCTGGCCGGGGGTGTGCGTCGGGCTGCGCCCGGCGGGCGCTGGCTGAGCGTGGCGAGAGGTTCGGCCCGGTGGGCGCCCCGGTGGGCGCCCCGTGGGCGCCGCGCGCTGCTCGCACTGCGTGGCCTGCTCGGCACAGCTCACGCCACCTCTGCTTGCGGTCGGTTCGCGTCGTGTCGACCCGCGGCGACTCCGCCGCGGGAGTTCAACCTTGACCGTCGCCAGCGACCCAGAATCGGTGGATGTTGAACGGTCCTGACGTTTCGGGAACGGCCGATCGTTCAAGGCTGAACGGTCCCCGCGGTGTCGGGAACCAACGCCAGGGTCGGCACGACGCGAACCTGCCGTACACCCCAACGCTTACACTGCACAGCATGCACCACGCAGCTTCCACAGCATGGCTTGCACTACATAGCTTGCACCGCACATGGCTTGCACCACATTGCTTCCACGACACTGCGTATACCACATAGCCTGCATTACAAATTATGCACCACACTGCTTGAAGCGCGAATCGCTTACAGCACAGCGTGCACGACATAGCATCCACAGCCAGAGTGCAGGGACGCACTGTCTGGGATCCACGGTGGCAAACACTCAGACATCAGAACGCATCAGTTATGTATACAGTGCGACTGCGAGAAATTGCGAGTAGACTATTGGGCGCAGGGACATCTCACTTTCGCTGCTTCCGTTTGGTCTTGAGTACACGCCTATGAGGTAACAAGGTGGAGGCCACAATGCTGCCATGGAAAAGGCATAGTCCCAGCATGCCCGTAATGGAGCCTTCAATAGCATAACGTACCCTTGCGATGAATGAGGCCAGGCTTTTAAGAGTTATCCCTGAGCAGTTGTTATGGTTTTCACCGTATCTTGGTGACCAATCCTCCCAAGTGTGGGGTCACATGCCCATGCGCGTCCGAATTAGTCCGTGACGGACCACGTTGTCAGTACAGTATATGTAGATGAAGCGATGACGAGGTGATTGAGGAGGTACAGCGGCGCATATGTGGAGGAAGATGCAGACACTAAGCGAATTGGTCCACGCATTGGGTCCTGATTCCGGCACTTGGGGGCTGGGCCCTAGCGGTCGTTTCTTATTTGGCCTCACGCGTACGCCATTGTTGAGTGGTTCGTCCAATTTCGTAGGCGTCGATTATGGTCTTCAAACAGCGGGCGGCCGAGAGAGTTAGTGTGAAAGGGATTGGCAGGCGGGAGAGATTATCAGGACGATGCGTAGGCGATGAAGAGAGGATTTCACAGCAGAGCAGGTGCAGATGGGCTTACGTTCACGAGGACAGGGGCGAGTGGAAGGACGGAGTTTTGGGGTGTGGGATGTCAGGAATTATGAGAGAACGATATCCGTAGCATGGTGGGGTGAGGGCAAGATAAGCATGGGCGAGAGCACTGAGTGGAATGGCCCGGGGTGAGGAGAGGACACGCAGGGAGATGGCATCGACCCAACCAGAAGAGGGTAGGAGTTATGCAATTGTTGGCCATGATCACCAGCGAGGCTGAGCAGAGCGAGGCCGTTTTCTTCAAACAAGAGTTTGCTCCCTCATTGTTTCAACCAGTGGCCAGGACAGTTGTCCAGGAGTGGGCAGAGAAGAAGTGTGTATGCCCCGTGTCTTTGCCATTTGGGGAGCATTCGTAAGCCACGGTTGCTCTACTATCATTGCGTCTACTTGAAATCGTGTGTCCGCGCGTGTCCTTGTCCGCTCCCGCAGTTGTCGGAAACTGGTGAAAACCGGGAGAGCCCGTAAAGTGATGTCATGCCGCTGGGCCATTGGCAGTGCAACCTTTGCATGCTGTGTCCTGACTCACTTGGACGATGCGGCCTGTGACTGCCTCGGCTGCAACCATGCAACAAGTTTGGCCAAGACTGGCGCTCCTGGCGCGCGCGTCTGCACGATCTCCTACGCTGCGGGGAGTACAACTAATGCCTGCTCCGAGTCTGTCCCTGTCCCAGCATCTCCGGGATAACTGGATCTGATCCAGCCGGGCATGATGCGCAGTTTTAATGTCTCCCTCTCCGATCTCATCCTCATCCTCGTCCTGCCCCTTTTGCTGCTGCTTTTCCGCCTTGCCACCGTCCTTCTGCTCCCCGTGCGTCATGGTCCTTCTTGTGTTCCTTGTCTCCGTGGCGGCGCGTGTGCGCCAGAGGCGAAGCTGATGACCACCGAGCAGCATGCCCAACGCGACTATGAGTCCCTGGTCAAAGCATTGCAGGCTGGAGTCGAGGCCAACCGCGAGGCGAGCGTGGAGGAGGAGGAGGAGAAGGAGAAAGACGAGGGAGGACAGAAGAAGGACACGGACCAGAGTAAACCCAGGATGCTTCAACGATGCTGCAGCGCACCCTCCCACCCCAAGTCCCCTATACGTCCCTGCAGGCATTCCTGTTTCGCGGCGGGAAGCTCCCCTTTGCGGGATGATCTCCATGTGTTTGCCATTCAGGCGGGGGGTTGGCTTTAAATGGGAGCTTGCCTGCATCCTTCTATCTATCAGTGGCGCGAAAAGGTCGGACAGTCGCGTTCGAAGAAGTGTTCAGCAAGAGCACCGTTTTGAAAGGAAGTCGCCCTCCATCCGCGTAATTGTCACACAGTGCTGGAGTTATGGCTCCATGCTCAGGAAGTCTCAAGCGAGAGCCACATTTCGAAAAGGAACCCCGTTCCATCGCTGTAGCAGTTGAAAGCTGATGACACGAAGATGCGCAGAGCTAAGGTGAGAGTGGCCGTTTGAAACTCGCCCTCCATCATAGTAACGGTTGGAAGCTGCGAGAGCCACGCGTTTAAAACCATTATCCGTTTTCATTTTCGCGGCTGGGACATGGTCAAACGACAGTGCGCGGCATTGCAGCGAGAGTTTCATCGTGAAGACGGGCCGCCCTCTATCTTCGTAGCTCGTGGGACTGTGTAAATGAATGCGCGCGGCTCTTAGGCGAAAGCCCCATCTCGAAACAGACCCGCCTCCATCATTACATCTATTTCAGGGCCGTGCGCAGTGAGGAAGTCTCAGACGAAACGTCCGACACGGCAAACCGATATCGCCGGTCGGGATGACGAGGCGGAGTTGTTTACAAGGCTGAAGGGGAGGGGGAGATAATGAGGAGCGTTTGGCGGAGAGCTCCAGGCAGGAGATGTTGTACAGCTGCGAATTCTGTTGGCGGTCCAGCAGATACCGCTCTTGGGGTTGGGAACCCTTTCGGTCCTCGCGGATGCGTCAATCGAATGTTGTGCGCGGCATGCGCGCTGATACTTGTAGACGTATGTGAATGGATAGATATATGGGCTGGAAGCGTTATCTCAGCCACAATCCACGTGTGTTGGTTGCGCACGCTCTGCGAATGTGGACGCCCACGTAACTGCAGCGGCGCTGGACTCGCCACAGACGTTGACGTGACGCGCTCGACGGCGGGGAAACGCACACCCGGTCAGCGGAATTGCGGGCCAGCATTTGGGAGAGCATTCGGACCGAGTGCTTGGGCATGACGTCCCATTTTGATGTGGAGCGAGGAGGGGAGGCAGGACGAGGCCTTTGCGGATCCTCTGCCTTCTTCGGGGTCTCGTGGGGCCGTCTTGTGGGCATCGGGGGGCCTCTTGTTGCCATCTGGGAAGAAATCGACTAAGAAAGGGGGGGGCAACTCGCCTCGCCCCTCTAGAGCCCCAACAGTCGCCTCTTGGACGCTCCCGGGCCCTCTTGAGCTTTCTTGGGGCCGTAGTGGAGTCCTCGTGGGCTCCTCTTAGGGTTGTCCTGTGCCTTTTTGGAGCCATCTTGAGGCCCATCAGAAGCAAAAAGGCGAGACGGCAACATCCATTCCTTTTCCCAGTATGGTGTAAGGATCTGGGCCTCTTCAGGGTGTCCTTGGGAGTCGACGGACGGGGCCTCTTGGATGCGCGTTGGAAGCTACCGTCAGCAATCGTTGACTATCGTGTGTGCAGTATTGGAGGCCATCTTGGGCTTTCTAGGGTCCCTCGTGGAGCCATCTTGGGCGCTTTGACAGCTCGACGCCCCCCTCTGTCCAGACCCAGGGGGAGGAGGCAGGGAAAGGGGTCAAGCTACCCCCCCGGAAGGACGGCCGTCTCGCTCGATCCCACCCGCCCTCCCACTACACCAGTTGCTCCCGAGTCTCAGCATGGGCATGGGCCGCCATCGACAATCATTGGGAATCAACGCAGACGCCAGTCAGGTTCGCGACGCTCGCGAGGTGCGCCGCGTGTGCTAGGGCCCCCCCATCATCCGTACCAAGTGTAAATGCCAAGTGATCGCAGGACGCCCGCGCATGATCAATATTGTGTTGCAAAGTGTATGTTTTGTTTAGCTGTTTGCAGGGATGGTTGGCCTGCGCGCAGCAGTCCATATGCTGGCACCCAGCTCGTCCCTGTTAAAGAAGGCATTGCGTAGTGGTCGCTTCGTGACCATGCATGATCCACAGATTTTGCCGCGCATTGCGCTTTGTATTATTTCTGGCAAGAATGATGTGGGGGTCGCCATGATTCCAGGTTTACCTTCAATCAAGTGGGGGAGATATTGTATATGAGTGAGGAACTGTGATCCCCTCCCCAACAGGAAAGCAGGGGATCGTGCGAGGAAGCGCTCTAGACCACCTCCGCCCAGAGAGCCGGTGGGATTCGGTATGTGACTGAGGCGGTATGCAGCTGCCAGGTGCCATTCAGAGCTTTCTCATATCAGTTCGCACTTCATGAGATGTGCGGAAACGGACACGAGCACTTGTGATCCCTGCCCTTTCAATCCAGGTTGGATGTGAGGGTTTTCAGGTTTTCATAGTGTTTCTGTCAGTGTAAAAACTGTTGATCGGCTTCGTGGGTCATACCAATTCAGGACCCTAGACTTGCGGCGCAGTCAAGCATGCAAGTGACTGAGCCGAGCGTTGTATGGTCAACATGACTCCACAGGTCTAGCTGCAAGCAACACGCAATGACCAATGACTACTGCAGCCTGCCAGCCGCGATGCCACTCAACCGTGTCCAATTTGACGGGAGGCGCCGATCCAGAGGAGGCCGTTTTTCGGGACCCGTAAGAGCCACAGGAAAACCCGACAAGGACCGCAGGTTTAGCTTTCTTCTCGCATAGTTGTCAAAGTTCTGCAGGGCAAAGCCCATGGTGGGTAAGCACATAATGCCTGCGCGATAAACACAGTCGCACCTCCAACCTCCCTCCACTGGAAGAGTTCGAGGTCAAGGGTCGTCTCGTCCCACCGCGGTCGCTATAAAAGAGGTGATGTAAGGAGTTTGCCACGCACGGTGGAGTCCACTCCCCAGCGGCCGTCAGCACTTCCTCGAGCAAGAACAACTTCATGGCCAGACTCCCACCTCGGTGTACCGCTTCACTAGTTCTCGCACTTCTGGGGAATTTGTAAACGCAAGGCTGCACCAATCATACTAAGCTTCCTGTGCAACTTGTGCCACTTCTTTTGCCACCGTAAAGCGTTCCCTATGCCAAGGCTTTTAGATTCGACCCTCGGCGGTTAGGGAACGCTCAACAAACTACATGTGCTTGCATGCACAAATGTCTGTAGCAAATCCTGCGAACAGATACTTGCATCTAGCGGCGGCGACCGTAATCGATATTCTCGTGCGGAACGCCGCAAACAAGGGGAGCGCACCACCAGGACTCCCTGGCTCCCTTCTCCCAACAGCTTTGCCCGGAGCGGCGACGTCGGCAGGCCATCATGGAGAAGACCGAGCTGTCGACCCATAGCTCCGCGGAGCTATCGGAGACCGAGGGCGACCTGCTGTCCAAGGGCGAGGAGCAGCCAGCAGGGGGGCAGACCGAATCCGCAAGAAGTGGAGATCCCCTCAGCGTGCGGACGGGTCGAAGGGTCGGGGATCGAAGGACCGATGTAGTTGATTGTTCTTGGCCTCTTTGAGGCCTCTGGGGGCGCCCTCGTGTCCACGGCTGGACGCAGCTCGAGGGACTGTGCGAAAGTCGAAAAAGGAAAGAGCGGCATCAACATAATTTTTCGGCGGTCCGCGCGGATTTCTTGGATCGGCGCTGGGACCCCCTGGCCGCGCCTCCCGCGCCGCCCCTGGCGCGCCCCGCGCGCCAGGGAGGGAGGCCCAGCTCAGATCCAAGAAACCCGCGCGGACCGCCAAAAGTGAGTGTTTATGTCGTTCTTTCTTCTTCCAGAAAGGTCCGAGGTTTTGTTCGAGCGGAATTGGGCAGGGGGAAGGCACCAGGGGGGGCGGCCTTTCGAGGAGGCAGGGGGTGTTCTTTGCCGTGCTCTTGCCCTCCAGGAGGCTTTCTTCGAAGCCTCCGACTCCTTGCGAGAAGCCCCCCGCCTTCTCAGAAGGCCGCCCCCGTTTCAAGAGGCGTTCTTCAAAGCCTCCGGTTCCTTGCAAGAAGCCCCCCGCATTCTCAGAAGGCCGCCCCCCTTTCCAAGAGTTAAGTCAGGCCTGTCCCCCCTACAGGGGGGATATTCAAAAATAGTCCAAACATAGTCTGCGGACGATTTTCTTGGTTACTTGATGACCAGTTTGAACAATACGGCTTGACTATTTTTTATCTGTCGTCCAAAATTCCCCTGCAGAAGGACGTGCCCGACCTAACCCTTCCAAGAGGCTTTCGTCGAAGCCTCCGGCTCCTTGCGAGAAGCCCCCAGCCTGCCTGGGAAGGCCGCGCCCCGCCCACCCCGTGTGCACACCGCCCAGTGTCCACGGCTGCAGCAGGCTCCCAGGCTTGAAAAGAGAAGTTTACGTCGAGCTTGTCCCTCTACACGTGGAATACTCAAGAATAGTAAACAAATAATTTGGGGACGATTTGTTGACAATTTTTTATAATTTCGTATTCGTTTTTTGGGTTTGGGGGTATTTTTCATTTGTCGTCCAAAATCCCCCTGTAGGGAGACATGCCCGACTTAAAGTGAAGTCGGGCATGTCCGTCGGAGTGACTTCGACGTGCACTTTGACCAGATTTCGGGATCGCCTCGAGCTCGATCCGATCGCCTCCTTGCAGATCCCAGGTCACACGCAGGATCTCCCTGAGGGCTCGGCCGTCGTTCGCGACGTACATGCCGGAGGCGGAGGCGGAGGAGGAGGCGGGATCTCCTCGAGTCCGGTCCGATCTACACATTGCTCATTTCTGATTCTTCGAAAGGTCTCTGATTTTTTGGGGGCCAAGATCTTTTCATTTCTAATTGTCCTATCCTGGGCCTCTTCCTGGCCACCAGGGGGCCAGGAACAATTAGGAACGAGCACAATTAGAAATGAGCACGATTAGAACTGAACAACCTATAGATGTTCTGCGCTGTTTGGCTCTCGGAGCGTAGTTTCGAAGGGAGGCCAGGAGAGGATCGGGTCGACGACGCTGATCTGGAAACCTGCGCCACCCTCAGCGATGGAGTTCGGTGGCACGGGTTACCGTAGAGCTCAGTGGTTATTTGTTCCTTCGACTTCTCTGAAGGGCTCACCCTCGGCAGGGTCTTGGCCTGATTTCAAGGAGCTGCGACTTGGGAATGGTGCAGTTTGGTTGTGATCGGAGGTTTGGGGGAGTGAGAACCAAGTTATCCAAACTGTGAAATCGGGTTCGGTCCGTGCCGCTCGTGCGGGCGAGACGAAGCTGCGCGTGGGCGGTGTTTTGTTGTCGGCCAAGGTGAGGACATGTCGGGCAACATATTTCGCCATCATGTCTCGTGGTGCCGCGATTTTTGGTTTGCTCCGAGATCGACGCGCTGGTCGTTTCGTGTTTGTCCTTTGGTTTATCTTGTGGTCGTCTCGCGGGTTGTCTAGGGTTGTCCCGTGTGGTTGTCCCGCGGTTCACGTGGGAATGCACATATACGACATGCACACCAGCATGCAAGTCGAAATGCAAACGCACATGCAAATCGGGATGTCCATATACATGAAACCAACAGCAAGGATCATTAACACGGACATTGAAACAGTAGATGAATTCGGAATGCAATAATACATACAGTTATCATTGCATATCAGCATGTCAAGACGATGCGCGATTCCAAATACAATTGCACATCCACTTGACATGCAAGTGCAACCGAAGTGCAAGTCGGATTGCAAGTGAATGTGCAACTCAGATTGCGAATCGAAGTGCAAAGTGACACGCGGTCTAAATGGACATCAAACTGCACGGCGAACCGCAAGACCAATGGCAATCAACGTGCAACCGATGTGAACAACAACATGCTAACATAAGTGCACACCCAATTGCCATCGACGTTCAAGTAAGAGACGCAACTCGGCATGCAAATTCGTTTGCTATCGAAACGGCGAGTCGGCATGCAACCAGGAACACGGCCGCTTGCAATCAAAATGAACATCGGAACGCACACCGAAATGCAAGTCCCTCAACACCCAAGCTTGATTATCGTCCGAAGGGTTGTCTACGAGATGCGTATCAACGATGCGCTATGCATCCAGGGATTTACACGTGCACGTAGCTGGGGAATTGAAGTTATCATGGAAATTTCCACTGCGACCTTTGGTGTTAATACCTGCATCGTTACCGTATGTACGCCCATTGCGGGCATCAGTTTCCGCGTCTACGCATCATTATGTACATCGTGAACACGTGTTTCTAATGGATTGCAAAGGTGCAGTCTCAAGTCTACAGGACGGCGAATTTGCACCGAAAGAGCGCATCAGAAGATCACATACTGCGATACGTTTTCCCGTTGTCATGTCTCGCACGTCTGCATCCTTCCTTCAGTCAGCCCTGCTTACAGCTGGGCCCCGCAGCCGAGGAGATCCAGACGCTGGGCAGCACGCTCTCAGGCCAGCGCGGGGAGCGCGGAGCATGCGGTCGGGAACTATTTGATAGCGTGTTGCTTCGCCGGTTCTGACCCACTGCGCTTCGGCGCGACACGCTATCCAATTCCTGGCCCCCCAGCGTCCTCGTCCCGATGGAGGGTTTCTCCGAAGGGCTTCCCTCCTCCTCCTCCTCCTCCTCCTGCTCCTCCCCCTCCTCCTCCTCCCCCCCCCTCCCTCCTCCTCTCCTCCTCCTCCTTCTCCTCCTCCTCCTCCTCCTTCCTTCTCCTCCTCCTCCTCCTCCTTCTCCTCCTCCTCCTTCCTCTCCCCTTCCTCCTCCTCCTCCTTCCTCCCTCCTCCTCCTCCCCTCCTCCCCCCTCCTCCTCCCCCCTCCTCCTCCTCCTCCTCCTCCTCCTCCTCCTCCTCCTCCTCCTCCTCCTCCTCCTCCTCCTCGGGTCGCCTCCCGCCCTGCGGAGCGGAGCGACACGCCATCCGCTCGCAGGGCACAGCGTGTCGCCGGGGCCGCCGTGGCGACACGCCATCCCAAAGTGCCCGACCGTACAGGGATCGACGAGAGGCAGCGCTCTGCCGCCCCTTATTCCCCCAAGCCTCCAGTGCTGCCGGGCGCTCATCTTGCCTCCGCCGCGCCGTCCACAATTCGTCGATTCGTCTACTATTTTTTAAATATATATATATATATATATAATTTTTGGTGTATATTTGGCCATTCAAAAAATCGCCTGTGGGAGGACATGCTGCTGGGCAGACCTTAACGCTGTTTTGCTGGACTTCGGCTGTGCTATGTTTTTCGTTTTGGCTGGGAGGTACAGGAAAACAGGTAGAGCAGAACGAACAACAAAACGAAACCATAACGAAAAACAGCGTTCAGGTCCAGCCCTGCTGCTGGGTGCTCATCTTGCCTCCGCCGCGCCGTCCATCGTTCGTTTCCTTCCAGCTCTCCCGTGCCTCCTGCCCCCTTGCAAGGGGAGGAGTGCGCAGCGGCCGGGCCCGCGACTGCCGCGCGTGGGGCGTGCGGCAGTCTGACCAGACAGCACATCGGCGGCGAAGCCCGAGCCCTACCCTCGCCGATCAACCGTTCACGCAACTCGATAGGCGGCGGGGCAGGGTTCGAGATTCGTCGAACGCGTGGCGAAATCCGAACCTTACCGCCGCCTCCCATCGATTCAGGAGACTCGCTGGTTGGCGGGGGTAGGGTTCGGACGTCGCCATCTGGCACAGGCGACCGCCGCCAGGCTGTGTCCGACCGACCGCTGCCTGCTGCGCCGCCTGCTGCCTGCTGCGTGCTGCCCTGCGTCGCGCTGTTCCTTCGGCACGCCCTTCTGTCGGCACGCCCCTCACCCTCCAGCTGCGGACCCAGTGGGGGAACTCGCGCGGGTCACTCCGCCCAACTTGGGACACGCGTCACGCGGATCATTTCCCACACGGGGAGCTCTAGCCACGGCCGTAGCAGGGAAATTAAATTCGCATAGCGTCACCCCGCCAGCTCCGGTACCACACTCTTTCGAATTGTGGCCCACTGGGAGCGTCAATGCACATCTTTTGGAAGGCGAGGGGCGGGGTTGTCGGTGGGGACGTGCGCGCGCGTGGACAGAGAACGATGGCGATAATATTATCGAGCTACCTGCGGTGCACCCCGCCACCGTGCTTGTGCAACAGCGCTGCAGGGAGGGGACCGAGTGTAGGAACAGCGCAATTCCGACGAGTGGTCTGATGAGGACGGGTCGAGGACTCGACCTCGTCATCGTCCGCGCAGTAGGAAGGAGGTCGAGTTCACACCCCACGGCAGTTCAGCGAGTGGTCTGAATTGGGAACGGTCGTGATTCCGACGTCGTCTTCGTCCACGCGGTAGGGAGGAGGAGGAGGAGGAGGAGGAGGAGGAGGAGGAGGAGGAGGAGGAGGAGGAGGAGGAGGAGGGGGAGATGGACGAGGATGAGGAGAGGGAGAAAATCAGGACGACAAGGAGAAAGCTTCTTGGGGCCCTCTTTGGGCCTCTTGGGGGCCTCTGGAAGCCTCGAGGGGGGCCTCTTGGGGGCTTCTTGAGATCCTCCTGTGGCCTCTTGGCGGCCTCTTGGGGCCTATCGGGCCGTCTTAGGGAGGCGATTGGCCCGTCTGATGCCTTCGGAGGCTGTCTTGGTGCTGGCTTGGAGCGCTTTAGGGCCGCGTTGGGGCTCTCGTCGGAGCGTCTTTGACGATCTTGGGATACTCTTGGGCCGACTCGGGGACCTTTGGGGGGCCTCATGGGCTGTCTTGGAGCTATCTTGGAAGCCCCTTGAGCCATCTATGGTGGTCGGAAACCCAAATAGGCTAGAATTTCAAAATCATTCAAAGACCTAAGGGACATCAGTGGATTTTGTCTCCTCGGGCTGCCATCTGGAGCCGGTTATCCTGTCGTCTGGGCTGTTTAAGAAGCCGTCCTGGAGGCCATCTTGTCCGTGTGGAGGCGCCTGGCAGCAATTTCTGAGGAGACGATTTTCTGAGGATGAGGAGCGTGCCAGGGGGGGGTCCCTAGAACACGTGACAAAACAGAAACCCTCAAAGACAACAGACGAGCATTCTAACACGCCTCTTCCGTGCAGGCACCGTGGCAGATTTCAAGGTGTGACGATGACACCGCTGCAAAACCACGCCACGATGAATGAGGGTTGTGAGAGATCTATGATAGATGTGGTACACCCTCGCGCGCGTCTTCAACGAGATGAGCACGGGAAGAGACGGGGAGGCGATCACACGGCCCGAGCCGCAGCCCAAAGCCCTTGCCGGGAGGCCTCCACCTCCAGTGCGACTGGCTTGTGAAGTACTACGACGCGCGCCAGAAGGTCTGCCCGCTCCCGCTCTGGTCCGCACCCCGCTCGTCTCGATCACTCGCCGCCTCTCGCGCCGTTCTGACCCTCCCTTGGTCGCGCCCCCTCCTTGCCCCCATCGGTGCCTGCCTTGTCCTCGGCGTCCTCCTTTCCTGCTCTGCCTGCCCCTGCCCCGCGCTCCGCCCGGGCGCCCCGAGCCCCCTGCCCTGCCTCGGCCCCGAGCCTCTGCCCGAGAGGAGGTCCGCGCTGCGGGAGACCACCGTGCTGGCCCCCCTGCCTTTTTTTCTTACCGCGCGAGAGCCTCCTCGCCGAGCCGTCTGTGCCCGACGAAGACTGGAGCAGGTGCGCGACGCGGCGACGGAACGTCATCTTTCCAGCCTCCTCAGTCCCCTGCTCCCCGTCCTCCTCGTCCTCGTCGCCCCACTCCTGCACCTCGCCCCCTCCTTGCGGCGGGCCAGTCAGCCCGGCGCTGAATGAGTCAACGCGGCAGAAAGTTCATGACTTGTACTATTCTTCGGTACGTACAGCACGGGAATGCTGCCTTCCTCGACGGTATCCTCAAGAGCTCTGCTCCAGGGCCCAACATAGTGGTACAAGGGCGTTGCCGAGTTCAGCGATGCACGGCCCGTGTGAAGTAGTTACCTTTGGACTCACAGCTCCCAACCTACTTTGAGCGCCTTCCTACTTCAACAATCGAAGAGCCGTTGCCTTATTGCCTTACTGTTTCGGAGTCGGGTGGACGCCCAACCTACTTGAACCAGTGTGGTACATGTTGTTTCTACCAACTTGTACCGACTTGCTTGTAAGCAGGAGAGGGGAGAGCACCTTGGAAGCAGCAGCCCAGCGGAGTGCACCCCTTCAGGCCCGCTCGGAGGAAATCGGTGCCATCGTCGAGGCCAAGGCCATTCTCAAGGGCGCCGACTTCGGAAAGGCCTACAGACCAGAGCGCACAATTGAAACGTGAGGACGGAGGAGGACGACAGTGTATGATAGGCAGGGGATGTAGTCGAGCTTTTGGTCACTTGGTGATTCGGCTGCCTGGCGACATTTTCGCCACTGTGACCGAGAGCAGCACGGATGTTGGGATGAAAATAGAACAGGGATAAATGCCAAAGTGGCCGAGCGGAATAATCATGCGGAGAAGGCGCACCAGATCGGCGCATCAGAAGAGTAGCAGGGAAACACGCGAGGGTGTAACATACATATTATCGTGACGACTTCAGGGGGAGATGGATACGAATGTTGCGGAGAGTGGGGATGGCGAAGAGTTTCAGGAGACCGAACATCACCAGGCGAGGCATTCATAGTATGTTTGTTTTTCGTAGCAGCCCACTTTTGCTGCTGCGTTCGCGAAATCTGCATTCCCTACCATCGTTTGTCCCGCTCCTACCCTCTCCCCTATAGCTTGACTCATGCAATCAATTTGCAGACTCGTGCAAAAAGCTGGTCGGCCCAGGCCCAATTCCTGACCCCGGAGGCTACTTCGCGAGCGCCCCGGGGCGGCCCAAGACTGCCCACGATGACCCCACGATGGCCCCAAGAGGGTCCAAGAAGGTCCCACGAGGCCCTAAAGTGGTCCCCGCGACGACCAAGACGAGCCAACGACGGTCCGTAGCCATTTTGACATTTTGACTTAAGGCATTCGGGCTCAAGCTTCCCGAGTGACCAATTTATGTGACGTGCCCAACTCCCTGCCACAAGGAGCATGCACCCCGCGCGGGTGGACGACATCAATCCCCAAACCCGCCCTGTGCACTACGCCTCTTACCCGCCACTGCCGCCAGAGGAGGTTGCGCATATACTTGTGTGGCCGTGGGAGGACGGGGGCTTGAAGTGGCAGGAGCGCGCGGTATGCCAAGGTGCCGCTGGAGACGAAGCGAACACGACGGCGTTGGCGAAGGACTTCCCCTGCATGCGCACCAGACTGGACGCCGCCGAGTCCAGGGCCATGGGGATCATCGGGATCATCAACAAATTGCCCAGTAAGTGAAGAAGAGAGGATGTGCTCGATATGATTTCGCAGCTGGGATTTGATCCGATGTCAACGCTTCCAAGATGCCGACGCGCGTCGGAAAGGGCAACAGAAAGTTGAACAGGGGGTTCGCATTCGGCTATTTCCGTGACGAGCGGGTGTGCTGGCGGTTCATGAAAGAGGCGTAGGGGTATCATGCTTTCGGGGAGCATTTCAGCGGCAGGGCCATCTCCGTAACCTTCTCCTTGCATGTCTCCGGCAAGTCTTTCAGTAGGTCCTCGGCAGTAACGTCCCAGGAGACGGAGGACGAGCTGACGTCGCCGTCCTGCAAGTAGGGCCTTCTTGAAAGAGGCCATTCGA